AATTTCATGTCTATTGTGTGATTTATTCTAGGCATACTGCTGCCAAACGTCTTGTTTCTCCAACTAGTTGTTTTCCTCTCCCAATGTTTCTTTTCATATTATTACAACAGTGAAACTGTGGTAAAAAAATAAAAATATAAAACTTGGAAAACACACTGGGTACGATATAGAGCAGGAAAGCAGGGTTATGGAGGCAGTGCAGAAGGGAGAACATGCAACCATAGATCACCAAACCAGCACTGTAGCACTACTTTGGAGTTGTGAGATAATGAAAATGTGATATACCAGGATGTTTCCATTTAATACACACATGAAGACAAGGCATACTTACTTTAATGTCAGGACAACTGTGAAGCAAATTTTAACGGGAAGCTCGTTAAGAGCAACCTTAAGATGTTTCTGATCTGTAACTGCCTGTTTAGCCAATGATGGGGAATCTGAGTGTTGCAATTCAGTAACATCTTGAGGGCCACATGATTCCTACCTTTGCTCCTAAATGCGTTATCTGTTTGCAGTGCTTTAGACTGAGAGTAACATAAGACAAAAAAAAATCAAAGATATAACTGTGTTAGCCTGGAGTATCAGTATGCAAAGGATTCTTGTAGCAGTGCATTGCTTTGAGTTTTCCTGGATGTGCGGCCATGTTCCAGAAGTATTGTTTCCTGATTCTTGTAGCACTTTAGAAACTAAGAGGATGAAGTTGGTAGCACAAACTTGACAGAGGTAGACTTAGTCTATGAAATTTTATGCCATCATCTTTGTTCTCTTAATCTCTAAGGTGCTCTAAGACCACCCTGAATACAAGAAAACTGAACTGATCAACTCTTGAGATCCTTTCTAGTTCTTGTTTCTGCAGTTTCATAAGTTGAAGAGTCCACAGTTCAAGGATATACAATAGACAATGTGCCCGCGGTTGCGAGTAAAGAAACAGCTGCAAGGAGAGTAAAATAGCATAGCAACACCACATTTTTAAAAAGTAAAACAAAATAGCACTTTGATAAGTCTGTAGAATGACTGTTTATAACATTCAGATGTTTTTTAGCCTTTGTGGGGAAGGACATTGACAATTCATTGAGTGACAGCAGTAACTTACCTTTTCTTGTCTATTATTTGCTTGAGGGTATAGCTAACAAGCCCCTTAGACTAAAGCCTCTTATGCCCCCCTCCCCACTCCCAGGGAACCCCATACATGCATCCAGATGGTGATATCTAAGTGAAACCTCAAGTGATAGTTTTGATCTAGCAAAGTACTAAGACCACTACAATGGATAAATTTAAACCATGGTCAAACTAAGTACTCCTCACCAATATAATGGCAATGAGATTCTGGGATATTGTATTAAAAGTAACTTATAAGCAATAGCAACAAAGCTCTGATATATGCCATTTCTTCTTCAATACACAAATGAGATTGCTTGAATAAACCGGTTATAACTTTTGGGCTGGGCTACTTTATTTTTAAGATGATCAATATAATTCACAGCCATGCAAGAAAATCGAATACAAGATTAACAAAGAAATATCCCATTGTAGTCAGTGAGGCTTACTTTCATAGATTTCCAATAATAATAAATTGAGGACAATCTGTCTTGATAAAACAGATAAGTTTAAAGGTTAGGATTGACTATTGTACAATAAAGATCAGCTTCGATTTTAATACATTAAAAGTGCAGGGATTTGGTAGGGACATGAAGAAAGAGAGGCTATAAAGCATTGTGACGCACTGTGCACATGTTTGTGCCATGTTTACTCATCAATAATTTGGAGAATGAATAGCCGGCTGAGAAGAAATAGTTTTCAAGGTAGGGGACAACAAAAGCAGTCATAAGGAGTCAATGTTGCAGAACTCTACAATATTTGATTAGAAAGTACAATTAGCTTTCTTTCTCTAAAATGTTTTTCAAAAAAAGTTAACATCATTTTACCTTCCATTATAAATATCACAGTGTATACATTTGGGTGGAGTTTTGAAGACTGGTTTCTTTGAATTATAACTCCTTCACTAGCCACTTCATCACACTAGAGAAAAATCCACTTAAAATCCGGTTTCTGCCTCCTGCAGAATTCTGGGGTTTGTAGTTTAGTGAGGAGGTTAAAGGCTCCTCTCTAAACTCCAAATCCCAGACCCTAGGAGACTAGGGGTTGTGATCTTTAAAATTACCTTTTCTAGCCTCTGGATATAAGGTAGCTGGAATGTATATAATTGTTTTAATGTATATATCACATATATTCTTGAATGGTAGACTATTTCCCTAGTCTACCATTCTTCCCCAACAACAGTAGAGTAGAAGTAGCTTAATGTTTTCATGGGGGGGGGGGGCTCTCTGAATAAGACAGTAATTGCAAACTGGCAAATGCTGTTAATATGAAATTCTATTTCCTTGAACCCTCCGCTGGAGTCTTAAATAAATGAATAAAGAACTCACGACACTACAACTTGGTGCGATGTACCTCATGGACTTTCTGCAACATGCTCAAATGTAGTTATAGCCAAAGAGAAGACTGAGACAGCACAGACATTATTTGATGTGTTGTCTAACTGAAAAGTAAATATACTTTCAGAAGTACTTTCAATGATGTAAATATTTGTGCTTACAAAATTCTTGCATAGGGATGTCAGTGAACAGATTGTTACCACAAGGCAGATTCTTTAAAGTTGCATTTTTATTTTACTAAATTATCTATGTTAAAAACAAATCTGTGCCTGGTGTAAAGTTTTACTGCATCAAATGTTACAAGCAGCAGAATGAAGGGGATGTAAGAACAAGTGTTAGGAAACATGGAAATAAATTAGCATATAATTTACAAAAGCAAATAAAAATAATAACAATGTAACAGTGTACCACATTAATACTGCGCATAAAATAAGAAGCAACTAATCACAATAATAGAAAGGGTTCTTTTCAATTTTGTACTGTAAAGGAAATTTATGTGACATCCATACCATTAGTAAAGATCCCTCTAAAATGGATAATTTTTAGGTGTGTACGCTTAGATAGTTTGAACTGTAGGCCTCATGGTAGGTGGCATAGCCCAATGGAAATATGTACCAGCAATTATTTGTGAATTTAGTATCTTACCATTTAAATTTTAGGCTTTTCATCTTTCTGTGGCCTATGCAAATTGTTCTATTGTAATATTTAGGAATATAATATTAATATTCTTAGCTTAGATTATATAGATGGCTATAGTGTAGCAACAGCAATGTCCTGTGCTGTGAAAAACCAATGGTTTACCTCTTTTATTCAGGCTTTTATTTAGGCTTAGAACTATATGCCAGTCCATTTGTAATCCCAATACATTCTGTGTATCATTCCCTTTAGCAATGCAAGTCAACATTGCTCCAGGGAGCTTCTTAAATTCCAAACTCAGTGCTCCTATGTGCCGCAGAGTAAACACTGGACTTCCTGATCTTCTAGCACCAATGAAAGAGCAAAATGTGCTTATGGAAACACTTTTTGCAATGGCAATGTTCTGTGAGGTAAAAGGAATTTGTTTCAATAAATCTCATCATTTTTTCTTAGTTCAAGAGACACATTCAGTAATAAATATTCATGTCTCAGAGCAAACCAAAATATGATAGATTGTAGTGTCTTGCCTGTAAAATGCCCTTGTGATAGCTATCCCTTTTATTTTATTTTTTTACTCAGCCAAGGCATGTTAGCACCAAATTATTTCCCTAAGGCTACAATCCTATACCATGTACCAGAGAGTAAATCCCACTCAACTCACTGGGATTTTCATTTGAGTAGGTAATTATGTATAGGATTGTACTCGAGAAGACTGATTTGTAAATGACATTCACTCAACAGCAACTCATGCTTACATGGAAATTCACAAAATGTGTATAAGTTTTCCTTTCTAAACTTCCATTTCAGTGAGCTCTGTTCATTTCCACCAAGCAGTAAATGGCTCTAAGCAAACAAATTAGCTAGAATTCTTATGCTCAGAAGTATAATGGAAGTGAAACATTCTGTCAAGAGGTAGAATATGACAGGAATCTCATGGTTATGAATGAATGAGCTATGGAAAACCCTGATGGATTGTCAGTATTTTTTCCTGCATAGTACAACATACACACACACATACTTCCTTTCCCCCAACTCGCTCTCTCTTTCTCTCTCTCTCTCATTCTGTTTTTCCTGTTAATTCACATTAGTAAATATTGTTCAACACATTTGGCTTATTGCAATTTGTTAAATATACTGACACATTTAGATATCATATACATGTTATAAAAGCTTGTCTCATTAAGAGTATTATTTTTTTTATAAAAGTGCCATTTGACTTTTAGTGTTAATACAAGGTGGTGGTGTTCACATCATCTCAATTGCACTACAACAAAGGAGGCAAGTTGGACACAAAAGCACATTCATCAAGTACCTGCTACAAACTGCAAGTGTTCAAGTACAATATAATAATATAAACAAGTACCCACTTTCCTTATCTCTTTGTTGTGTCATGTACAAAGCAGGGAATGGGGGAGAAGTATGGCCATTAGTATTAGCTCACACTGGATTCTGGAATCTATTTTACCCAAGGAGCTTGGCTTCACATTTAATACAAGTCAGCGTATTAATATATTGAAATGGTGAATATAAAAACTATGGTACTTGATAGTTTCCCGTAAGTTATGTACTCTTTGGTTGTTTATTCTGTAGGAATCTCCAAAACCAGATGCATCCAGATGCATTCTTCTACATAGTCTCTCATAAATCAGTGCTCCCCTATTGTTTCAGTGAAGGAGAAATGGAAAATCCATTGTATGCTTCCAGATGATTTGCAGAAAACCCACTACAGTTTATCACTTGTAACTGAAAACCAGTTAGACATCTGAAAAATGGATGTCCTTTCTATTTGAACAGTGAATATAAAGATATATATCCACAGTGGATATTAACCTTCAGCATGTCTACATAAGCATACATTAACATAAACGTTAAGAAATACCTTTGCAACTGTTGTAGAACTCTTCCACTGTGTGTGTACATGTATATATATTCCCTTTTAGTGGAAATTCTGATGTTATTGCAAAATGGAAAGATAGCTGTAAACCTATGTTTATTGTTTGATGCATCTAGGGAAAATGTGTTGCATTTCTTAGTTCTATGTTCCTTATTGTTCTAGTTTAGTTTAGCTTTAGACATGGCTCACAGCAGTCATCGGAAATACGGATTATTCTTTAGAGAATTAGATGAACAAAGGAAAATACATTTATTTTACTTCTGATTTATATTTGTTTCTAAAATAATATTCCCAAGCCCACTTCTTTAATTTAAGTTGTGGTGCTATGTAGTAAGATAAAATAGTTATTAATTATAAGCTATGACAAGATTTTAAAAATGCTTCTTTTCTTTTGTAGTTGACCAAACCACAATAGCTACATTTTAAACAATATTAAATACAAATGGATTCAGTGTCATTGCTAAGTCCATTATAACAATTATCTTAATGGTCCAAGGAGGTAAAAAGACTAGTGGATTTAGTCAAAAGTACACATATGTTCCGCCATAAGTTACTCTGTGTACACTGTATTTTTCCATTATGGCATGCCCTCCTTATTCTGTCTCCAGCACTTTGGATGAATAAATCCCACTTCATAGAAGTTAAAATAATATTGAAATTCTGTCAGCTGGGGCTGACCAGTGGTTACATTTTCCACAGGGTGATGCATTTACAAGGACATACGTCTGGTTGCACTTGCAGCGATCTCCGATGGACACATTTCCACAATGAAAATAACAAGGCACTTTCAGTTTCTGTGGGTCAATGTCCTTGGCAGGTCTTGCAGCATATCTGTCTGAAGTATGCTCGACTGCAGAATTTGAACTTCAGCACCAGTGGGCAATAAGCCACTTTATTCACATCTTTGCATTCTAGTGGAGGCATAAACAAGCCAAAATCATTACATAAATTTTTAAAAGGCACAAAACCAAATAAGGCACAAAACCAAATAAGGCCCTCTGTCCTCTGTATGAACTTATCTTTCTAGTGGCACAGCTTAGTTACTACAAACAGAATAATTTTGAAATTAAGAAATTGCATTGAGATTTCAACCAGTGACTATTTTAAGAATATCTGCCTTGTTCCTGAAATTGCTAAGAAAAACCTCCAAAAGCTCATATGACAGATGACTCTCCTATTTTCCCTTTTTAACCTTAACAAAGAATTATACGATAGTCAGTATTCTGTTGGTTTTTTAAGGTTTTTGTCTTCAAAGGTACCCAACGAACCTTTGAATTCATGCCCCATGACAAATCTGTTTTTCAATTAAAATAGTTTGTGACATACACTGGGGCCTATTACACTATGAAACAAAATTTGAACAAAAATTATGTTCCTGGTTTGAAAGTGTTGTTTCCTGTTTAATTTGGCCCTCCAAGTGTTTGCACTTCGCCTCCCACAATTCTCAATAGCCTACTGGCTGTAAGGAATTGTGGGGGTTGAAGTTCAAAACATCTGGAGGGCCAAAGTTTGCCCATGCCTAGCCTAGGAACTTTGTTTGAAAATTTCCTTAATGAAAATATGCCATTTTTAACCTTTCAATGTGCAGACCGCTAAAACAAAGTTTTTGCAGTTTAATAAATATTTTCAATGTTCTTATGATAAAACCAATTAGGAACAAAAATCGTGTTACATAGTGTTATTCAAGGGAGTGGAATGATAAAAATTCCACTCGGCACATCAACGTATTAGACACATAGAAGTAGTTCTTTGGATCCCACTCCATATATGTGAATTGCATCCATATACATCAGTTCTCCCATGCTTAATATCACATGAAGAAATAAGCTGAAGCTTTGGACAGAGCCAAGGGAAAGTATTGGTTTGGGACTTGTGCTAAGAACTGCAGACCAAAAAGTTAAGACTGCTGTTCTAGAGTAGCTGCTTAGTAAGTCAGGATTGAGGGACTTCTATGATCCCTATGTTTTCTCTACAATACCGAATATGTGGGATCATGAATACTAATAAATTATGACTGTTTACCTCTAGGCAGCAAACCATGAATTCCAGCCAAGATTTCCAAGTTAAGACCAGTGATGGAAATTCAAAGGATTTAAGGGGATCCAAAAAAATATACTGCATGGCCTTTGGCCTGTTCTGATTTGTGGACACACTACTGTGGTAGTGTATATTTGGCTCTCTTTCTGATACATATAGAAACTAATCACAGTGTCCTTACAATAACACATTGTTTTCCTCTACTAAAATGCTTTAAAAGACAAAGCATATAAATACAAAGAAACCAATGCCTTCATGTGAAGAGATAAATTATTACAAGGTCTATAATTTCAGATGACCTTGTAAAACCTGGATTCAGCTGCCATCTGTACTTAACAAATCTTTTCAAAAGAACTTTTTAAAAGAACATATGTACTATATCAAATAGATATCAATTGCATGTGTGCTATTGCAAATATAAGCTGTCAGTATCTCACTTTGAATAACAAATATAATATTGACATTACCAGTGGCAGTTTGCCAAGACCTAGTGTATAATGCTCTAATTCTTCAGTTAAATGCCTGAACATAAAGAGCTGAAGCAGACATTCACTGTGACAAGATGCTGCCACTTTATTTCATCTACTCTTAAAACCCTAAATCTTTTCTGACTGGATAAGTACAGATGTAAACTATGTATGACGTTATCAGGATAGCTGTACAATGCAAGCAGCTGGCTCTTACAGATGAAAATTCTGCATTCCAACCATTCTGTAGATGCTTTTTACAAGTGCTAAGAACAAGTAAACTATCATAGTTAACAACTGCTAACCATTTAATGTGCTATAAAACTAAGCTTATGTTGCTGGCATCTAATCTTTAAATTCCCATTAGCTTCCTGAAAGAAGAGATTTCAAATTAATTCAGCCTCTTATTTAATATAGGAAAACATACCAACATTCTTTTCTCTGAATTTTCTGTGTTTTGTCTGTTATAATGCATAATCTCTATTTTTAAGGAGGTGTGTAAACCATGGATGCAATTCAACTGAATAAGTGCATCAACATGCTTGAAAAACAGTGGTTTTACTTTTATTAATCTAATGGCTCATTCACATATGGAATGTATCCTAATAAATTTCCAAAAGAAATTAGTATTTATGAAATGTTCATAATGCTAATTTGCCACAAGATTAACATGAAGTTTTAAATGCTAGTAGTAGGTAGGCATTGAAAACTCCTGTGTATTTTTATTGATGCAAAAATACTTATATCCCAAAGATGGAAAGCTAAACCCTCACCATTCACTGTTCAATGGCTGAAATATCTTACAATATCTTGCTATGCATAAATTTGTATTTTCCAAGAAATGCATTTTTGGATATGACCAACTAATATGCCTAACCCACATCCATATTCTATTTTTCTCTTCTGTTTGTTCTTTCTTTGTATTGATTCTTTTTAAAACCCCAATAAAAAGGATTAAAAATAATCTGGAGAGTTTCAAAGAGAATATCAATGCCAACAGTTCACACTTGCTTTATAGTAGCAAAATCATTAATTGGCATAAGGCATATCTCAGTAGAGCTGTTAAAATGTCCATATACTTAGAATCAGAAATAATAATACTTTATATAGTATGACCCCCCTTCCCAAACCTGTGTGATTGGAACCCACCATTTTGCCTCCCCACATGTAACAAAATACATCCTCTCCAGGAATTTTCTAGATCCTCCAGGTGACTCTATGGTAATTTCTGGCAGAAGCTGTTTGCTTTAATAGGGATTGCTATTATCTACAGTTTTCTGTTTCCACAGTAGGTTTAGAAATATATCCCCCATGAATATGCTGTATTGTGTTTTACTGCGGTTTAGAATGGTTTACTGCCTCCAGTTTGAAAACTCCCATTTTTTTTTCATTTTTTTAATTTATTATTTGAACTTATATGCCACCACTCCCTTGGGGCTTGGAGCGGCTTACAAGAATGGCTAAAATCTAACAAAATTTAAAAGCAATTTAAAACAATTTAAAAACAGCAATATCAAACATTAAAAGCCTGTCGAAACAGGTATGTCTTACATGCCCTGCGGAAAGCTGGTAAGTCCCGCAAGGCACGGACTTCAGGTGGCAGAGTATTCTAGAGTGATGGTGCCACTGCTGTGAAGGCTCTGCGTCTGGTTGCTGTTAGACGCAAGGTCTTGACACTGGCAATTTCCAATAGATCTTGGTCCTCAGAACGGAGGGATCTCTGGGGTTGGTAGGGGGTGAGGCGGTCTCTCAGATACATCGGCCCCAGACCATGCAAGGCCTTAAAGGTGAGTACCATCACGTTGAAAGTGATCCGGTGCTCAATTGGTAACCAATGCAGCTGTAGTAAGATTGGTGTTATGTGGCATCTCATCGGAATTCCCGCAAGAAGCCGAGCAGCTGCGTTTTGTACCAACTTGAGCTTCCGGATCACCAACAGAGGAAGGCCAATGTAGGCCAATTTAATTATGCTTTACTTCTTATTAAGGAGACATTCCACAAAGACTGAAATTGTTTGTCTCCATTAAAAATACATATGATGACTTAATAGCATGACCAATGTGATATGGAAGTAAAAATGAAGCTCCCAAACAGACCACCAAAATTTGCCATTTGCAGAATTTTAGCTATTTTTTTCAATGAGTATATCATCTACCTGGAACCCTGAAAGTGCTACAATTTTTCTTGTTGACTTGTATGGGAAAACAGACTATTCTAGCCAGCTGCTTCAGATTTAGAAGTAATCCCCTAATATGTTTTAGCATTAATTTGGAATTTCTGGTTTTAAAAAAAGTCCTAATCCTGGCTCTGTAGGAAGGAAGCTAAGAACAGCTTTTCTCTCTTGAGGATTATAGATCTCCCATTTTACTTAAAAACAACAGAATCAGCAGAATTTTCCGCTCTACAATATGGCTAAGTGAAATTGTGAATGATGGAGAAAACAGGTACAACATTCCTACATTTTGTTAACAATATTTTTGAACAATATTATTTGGATTTATCTTTTCTGTATAAAAGAAAATCAGTAAAACCAAGCTCACCCTCTGTGTTGGAAATGGGAGTACTATCACATTTGCTTTCACACTGTTGCATTGATGGAGGCCGAAGAGTATCTGGACAGTCATTGGATGCTTGCCCGGTATATGAAAGACATTGCACAGTTCTCATCTGTTGTCCAAGACCACATTGTGCAGAACACTATGTCAGAAAGAGGCCATGAAAGGGGGGAAATAGGAAGCAAAGGATGTCATACACCAAATAATAAACTGAACAGCAACATGGTGAACAGAGAAAATGCCACCGGGTTCATAGGACATTTTTATCCTTATTGCCCAAGGGTAACTGACTGAAGAAGCAATAAGAGCTTTTGCAAATCTTGATGAATCTGAATTATGGGAATGTGATATTATAGGGGAGTGCTTCTTAGATTTATTTCTTCAAAATTTTGATCATGCTGTGAAGGATGCTATAACAATCAATAGAGGCAGATACTTAGAGGAACATGTCACCTAAAGTGAAGTCATCTTCAATTGTAAAAGGTTTTTGAGATGCAAGTACTTCATTCCAGATTAAAATTTGAAGTCATTTTTTCCTTTTTAATGTTTCATCTTTCCATTCTGTAACTTTACCAAAGTACTGATAACTTTCAAATTTTACTAAGTTTCAACATGAGTTGGCTCTTCCATTTTGGTTGTCCATATTTCATTCGATGATGTGAAAATCTAGGATGCATCAGGAAAAGGGTTTTTTGTTTGTTTCTTTGCCTCTTTGGAGGATAGTCACAGAAGTGATAGTATTGTCACCATCTGTATGTTTACAATAAGTTTCCATTGTTTGGAGATTAGACTAAATTAGCTAGTATCCCTTACTTCACAGTTGTTGGAGCCTTGGGGTAAGTGTTGTTGATTTCCATAAAGAACAAACTGAAATAATCAAATCATGCATAATATAAATAATTTACCATTCCGTGGCCAATGTGATCACTCAAGCTATTTTTATTTAGCCATATTATTCAAATGCATGAAGATTTATGCCATACTACTGTTCTTAATTTTGAAAATTCTGCAAAACAATGTGATTGATTGTTTTTATACCATTGTCCATCAGAGTGGACAGGGGACAGACTACTCCAGTTACCTAGCAACTCTGCCTTTATTACCTGCCCCCAGTCTCCCATAAGCCATCGTGGTGGTGGACATCTGCCCAAGCTACAGCGCATACGGACTGGAGGCTTATTTTCTTCTTGGCAATGTGCAACTGGAAATGTTTTAGAAAGATCGCTGCTTTTACAGAGGACAATACGATGCTTGAAACCAGGACCACATTTTGGAGTACACTGGAAACAAGAAACAAACAGGATTTAGATACTACAATACAAAAAAGTAAAATATAAATATATTAAATCACTTGGCCTTCTAAAAAAATGTCCACTACACCTAAAACTCAGACTATAATTACCATATTTGGCTATAACACTTGTGGATAACAGAAGCAAGGTGAATTAAATTATCATAAAGCCTTTACATAAAATGCTTCCTTTTATTTGTAAGGCTAATTTCTAAGACTACCAACATCACATATTTCAGCCTCTGCACTACAGAATATAGTGCTTTATTAAATTATATGTAGAATCACACACACACACACACAGACACACACACACCATATATATATATATATATATATATATATATATATATATATATATATATTGTACACTTCTATCCCGCCCTTCTCCCCACAAGGGGGACTCAGGGTGGCCTCACATAGGCATCAACGATACTTGCAACGTATACATCATAAGAATACAATTAAAACAGTAAAACAGTAAAAACATCTTAAAACATCATACAAATCAGATAATAAATTCATTTAACAATAATATTAGAATGCCAGTAAAACCAAAAATCAAGCCAGGAAATCCAATGTCGCAAATTCACATTCCTTTCCTATAGTCACTTTCATCTAATCAAATGCCTGGCCACAGAGCCAGGTCTTCAGTTGTCTTCTAAAGGACAGGAGGGAGGTGGCCAACCTGATGTCCTTAGGGAGGGAGTTCCACAGATGTGGGGCCACTGCCGAGACAGCCCTGTCTCTTGTGCCCACTAACCGTGTTTGCGAGAGTGGTGGGATCGTGAGCAGGGCCTCTCCTGACAATCTTGAACTTTGTGGTGGTTCATAGAAGGAGATACATTCAGACAAGTAATCTGGGCCAGAACCGTTAAAACCAACACTTTGAATTGTGCCCGGAAGCCAATCAGAAGCCAGTGGAGCTGGTGCAACAAAGGAGTAGTACGCTCCCTGTACACTGCTCCAGTTAACAACCTGGCTGCCGACCATTGAACTAATTGAAGCTTCCAAGAGCTTTTTAAAGGCAGCCCCGTGTAGTTCCAAATAAACAAGAATAATGCTTCAGTGATACTATGCAGACTGAATATAGAGATAACCTGTGTGAAGTAACCACTGATTTGGATTGCTCCATGTATTTGCATTTAAAAATAATAATAAAGGCTGTCGCTACAACTCCTACTTAATACAAGATTCAGTTTGTATTGGAAATAATATACTTATGCTGGAAGTGATCCAGCTAAAGTAAAGAATTATTATTTCAATGAATGTTGATAAGATGCTCTCTGTTCAGTTGCACTTAAATGCATAACTTTGCCTGGCTAATGTCCTTAATTCTACGTATGTAAATGCTGTAATCTGCTCTGAGTCCCCTAGGGGAGAAGGGTGGAATATAAATAAAGTGTAATTATTATTATTATTATTATTATTATTATTATTATTATTATTATTATTTTTAGCATGGCTGAAAAGCAGAGTAAAAACGCTTCAAATCAATCAGTCAATAAAACCCATCCCCTATCAGATGTAAGTTCAAACTGTATCTCATAATCTTTTTTGGTTGTTACAGAGACTGGAATCTACTACGAACCATGCAATGATCACAACTTCCTCCACTCCACCTTTTAACCGATGTCCTTCCTCAAATGAATAGTCTCTTATTGGCCCATGGAGGAGGAGGAGGAAGAGGAGGAGGGAAATACTGATTGGGTAGGCCCGTCAAAAGAGATAGATCTAGTTGTGTCTGAAATTTTGACAATGCATTTAGCTGTTGGATTTCTTCCAGCAGGTAATTCCACAGTCTGGGAGTGTTCTAGAAGGGGACCGTGGTCAATATGGTATCAAACACCTCTGAACACTCTCAATGAATGATCAGCTTCTCAAAGAGGGCACACACCTATTTTGGCTCTCCTATAGATGTTTTTTTCTTTCTTTCTATCCCATGGTGGATGGACAAAGTGGGAAGCAATATTTCAACCAGGTGCAATTTGAAACAAATAGTTTACTGTAAAAGAGAAGAATATTTTGAATACATATTATTTAATCATTTAGTGTGTTTACTTACTTCTGACCAATCCAATGGAATCCACTGTGGGGGGCAAGACTGGTTATTACAAGATTCTTTTTCAATTGGCCGATGTGTTAAACAATGAGTACTGTCCAAGGTTTCCTCTTCAGAAGGTCCAATCTTCCTGATGCACAGAACTGTTCTTGATCGCATTCCACCATCACAGGTCTTACTGCATTCTGACCAATCTCCAATAAACCACCTTCAAGAAAAACATTGGGAAAGTACATCACATATTCAACAAAGTCAACTGATATACACATAGTTAACAACTACACATGACTGAATGAGTAAGAAAATGATAAATGGCAATTTATCGTATGCCCTAGTCGAAGCCAGCCCGGGTTGGAGTGGGTTTCCAACCAATTGTGTGTAGCCTGTTGTCGACCTTTGCAACCCGAAAGACAGTTGCATCTGTCAAGTAGGAAAATTAGGTACCACCTTAAAAAGTGTGGGGAGGCTAAATTAATTGATTTATGAGGCCATAAAGAAGACTCCAGCAAAGCATTCCAGCAGGGAAGCATGCGGGGAATGCAGAAGTGCTTCATCAGCGTTGCAGATGGACGATGAAAGCGACAGCTCCCCTGGCGGCCAGAAAAAAAAAGTTAAATAGCCTCTGTGTATGTCCGTATATGTTTGTATGTCAAAAAATTGGCATTGAATGTTTGCCATATATGTGTACACTGTAATCCGCCCTGAGTCCCCTGTGGGGTGAGAAGGGCGGAATATAAAAGCTGTAAATAAATAAATAAATAAGCATAATGATGTAATTCTCATTGAATCCTTTAATTCAGTATGGCAGCCAGAAATGTCTACAGAGCTTTTCTCTATGCTCCCTGATTTTTCTGCCCATGATTCAGTTGAGCCAGAATTGTGGTTGGTTATTATTGGACTTTTGCTCTGTTTCTCATTCAATTTCCTCATCAAAGTTTGTTATTTTGCTTTTTTGAATACCTTTTTTTTATAACTTTATGTCTCCAAACTCACTACATGCTTCGTTTTCTCGGTATTTATTTTTTGTTTTATTCCCTGATTTTCGCTTTCACTTGAAATTAGGAAAAATATTTCATTGTAGCTCTTTTCTCTCTTCCTCAGTGACTCACTGAACAGTAGTCATCTGGGGTTTCTTGCTTGCCTTAATTCTTTCTCCCCAATCCACTATTCAGCCATTTAGGGACTACACTTTTATCTTACATTTCTGGCTTTTTATCCTTTTTTTCTCTATCCATTTTTTCTTAATCAATAATACTATTTTAATTTTAAACTGGAGAGGGTTCAATGCACATCTGGTTTTAAGGCAAGATTTCAAATAAATGGCTGAATAGTAGATTGGGGAGAAAGAATTAAGGCAAGCAAAGAGGGAAAAGCAGACAGAAATGGGGGGAAAAACAGAAACAATTTTGCCTGCTGCCATGTGGGTCGGCCAGCCAGAAAAACACACTGGTGATAGATTCCTTATTCCTGCCATCCCAAGAAAGTCAGTTGAGCTTCTAGTATCTAACACTGCGAGAAACATTTTTACTTAATAACTTTTGACTTGAAATTCACTTTGGGGGCACAGAAGTTTGTTTTTTTTAAATGGGAGACTCACTAGATAGCAGTTGTTGTAGAAGTGATTTCTTTCTATTTGTTTGACTCCATGGAAAATTATATTACGGTATATTGCTTTAAGCCCAGTGTGTGTGTGTGTTAAAGAAAGCCTAAACAGAAAAGCCTTGCAAAGTATTAATGATTAACTGCAGCTGCAGAATGCTAGCTAGGCCACACCTCTTAAATGTAACAATTTGAGGCTTGTGCAGACGGCTGGCAGTTGGCTGTTTGAAATGCTAGAGAGCAGAAGCAAGAAGCTCATGTTATGGTGAAGTAACCATGTTTTATTTTGTTATGCTCTATGATTTATAAGACAGAAGATTTATTCTGTATTACTTACAGTGACTATGTAAGTGTGCCAAACTGTTTTATTTTTCAACTCTGCATCCAAGAATAAAGTTCTACTGTTTTATTTCTTCTGACTGGTCTGTGTCTTTGGCATTGGGTTTTTGGGCATATTGGACATTGCTACTGCGCAACAACTTGACTCTGCGTAACAAATTATACTTCTAGTTTCAAGTCACATAAAATACAAGGATTACTAAAAGCAAAATACTTAAATAATTTTTTTGCCCACAAATTGAAGTTTTCATATTCTGCTAGTACAATTCCCCTCACCCATCCCCACATCTCTTGAAAATACAAAGAACACAGACATATAATGAATAAATCACCTATGCATTAGGTACTTACTCAGTTGGGCAAGGCTCAGTATTGCAAGTTCTCTGATTTTCTGGTGGTTTATTATCAAGATCACAGTAATTGTTCTGTACTATAGAATTGTCATCCAGCCGTTTGCACACTATTTCTTGCTTCTGTGAACCTTAGGAAGAAAAATATATATTGTGAATCACAGCTTTGCTCTGATCTGTCCTATTTCAAAAGGACACAATTTGTATTGCATTACATAAAATCAAAGATATAATCCATATTAAGGATCTGTTTAGGGCTTGGTGAGTCTCCTGCTTTTACTGTCTTCAGGATGACCTAAAACATATTGTGGGGTGTATACCCCAGATCCTTATTCAATTTTAAGATCACTGAATGCTACTGATATGACAGGTGTTTTACAGTGTCTTCTACTCTGAAGAAGCATTGGCTAGATTTGAAGCTCTGCTATCTTGTACATCTGTTCTCCCTAAGGTTTGAATATGTTATGACAGTACTGAGATTAACTAAAGAAGAAGCAATGATGTGACAACTCACAGAGATTACTATAACATAGATATTGTGGACAACACAAAGGATTCTGGGTCTTATATTTCCCTTCCTCTCTTGTGCTGATTCAAGATGATAAAAATTACCATTCTGCATGGGAAAACCAGTTTTGAATAAGATGTATGTGAATTGTAATTACACACAAAACCATATAATTTATTTTATTTATTAAAAAATACATGTAAGGTTTTTTTAAAAAAAATCTGCACCTCCTTCCCCCTCACTTTGCTGCCATGTCCCTCTATAAACCATCATGGAGGTTAAGATCTTCTGGGGAGGTGATCCTGCTCTCAGGATCACCTCTGTCGCAAGTGCAGTTGGTGTGGATGAGAGACAGGGCTTTCTCAGTGGTGGCTCCTGGGAACTCTCTCCCGAGTGAGATTAGATCAGCAACCTAACTCCTGGCCTTTAGAAAGAAATTAAAGATGTGGTTATGGGACCAAGCCTTTGGCCAGTAAAATTATGCACTGCAAAGAATAATTAGGAAACATGTGCAATGACAATCAGAATGGCTACAGTGTACACTTTTTTGGATCATGTGATTTTAATATTTACACTAGGATGTTTTAATGCTTTCTTCTAATGTTTAAATGTTGTTTATGTCTTATGTTTAATGGTTTTAATTATTTTAATTTATAGTTATATGTTAGTGTTCAGTTATTATGATATCTCTCTCTCTCTCTCTCTCTCTCTCTCTGTGTATAGCATTGAATCTTTGCCATTAAAATGTTGAAAACCCGCCTGAGTCCCCCCCCCCCCCCCCCGGGTGAGAAAGGCAGTAGAAAAATATAGTAAATCAATAAACAAACAAACAAACAAATATTTAATATTCAAAATGAAGATTTGTCATTAATGATGTACAAATTAATTTTATCCACTTCATGCATGTTCTGACAAAGAAGCACTATTATCCACTATGCTACACAGTATTTCTGATTCTTTTTAAAAATTGTTTGGCTTGGCTGTTGAACAGTGAACAGAAAATATGTGATCATGACACAGTGTTGGCATAACACATGTATACATGCTGAAATGTCTTGTTGTTGTTGTTGTTGTTGTTGTTGTTATTATTATCATCTATAATTCACTTTTCTCTCCACAAAGGAGATTCAAAGTAGCTTGTATACACCTCTTTACATTTTCTACATATTTCCCACCTCGGATCTTTGTTGAGTGCTTTCCCTCAACTTTCCTCCCTTTAAATTTGTCATACCATAAAGCAATGAAAATGTTTTTGTCTTTTTTGCAGCTGTAGCACTTTAAAGAATTCTATTTCAGTGCTGAATCTCCCCATGTCCTCCCCTATAGTCAGAGTTTGGTTTGTGTCTGCACACCATCTGATAAAGTGTATAGATCAATGAGTCCTTGAACGTTTTAAATTTCTAAGACCTAAAAACCGAATGTAAACCATAGCTATGTCTTCATTCGTTGACTAAACCAGGCCTGCACAATCTGTGGCCCTCCAGGTGTTCTGAACTTCGGCTCCCAGAATTTATGACCATTGGACAAGCTGGCAAAAGCGTTTATGAGTTGGAATCCCAAACACTTGGAGGACCACAGGTCATGCAGGTCTAGACTAAACACTCAGAAAGAAAGACAGTAGAAGATATGTTTTCAGGAAAACAATTGAGCAGAATAGGTTCGTTTCCCATTTTGGTTTCTACAAGGCTTACTTTTGAAATGAAATCTAGGAATCCAGGCCAGTTAATAGTGTAAGAAGGCAGCGTGACCAGAATTCAAATATGAGATAGCTAAATGGGTAGTAACAACTGTATCTGGAACTCCCTGCCCAGGGAAGCCAGAATGGCCCCCTTCCCTGCTGTCCTTCTGGCGGCAGGCTAAGCCCTTTTTATTAAGGCAGGCTTTTAAGGTTTTTAAGATCAAGTCAAGGGGGACTGTGGTTTTAGCTTTGAATATGTTTTAATCAGTTTTAATGATTTCAAGTGTTAATTTTTAATTAATATCTTTGATGTTTAATTCTATTTTAATGTTTGAATATTCTTGGAATTTAAATTACTTTTAATGTAATCTAAACTTATTGTGTATCAATAAACAAATAATACCTTGCCTTTCCCCCCATTCTGTTTCTTTTTCACCCTCCTTATGCAATGTTTGTTCAGTCTTTCTTTTTATGTCTTAATCCAAATAAAAGGCAGCAGGGGTTTTTATTCTCTCACACATGAACATGCCTACCTCTCTCTTCTCAGACAGTCCATGTGCATGTCAATTGCATCACAAACAGGAAAGTTTGACCAGGTAGCTAGCTGGGTTACACAGAAGTGGGGCTTGGCATTTTGTTATCTTTCCTGAAACCACATCTCTATTCTTAAGAAGCTCTTTTACTTTTGAAAAGCCCTCTTACTCTTACTCCTGGAGAGTATAGTGAAAGTCACAGATTTCAATTCATTTTAAAAAAAATAAGTGCAAAGATAACATAGATAACCAGTTCCCCCACCAACAGCTCCAAGTTTCAGTAGCTTTGGTTTCATAGTCTTAGAGCTTTGAAAGAAACAGAAAGTTAGACCTTTTATCTCTCTTTTGTTATTATGATGGATTAAATATTGATACTTTGTGACTAATGGGAGCTCTTTTATATAAATCCCTAGTTTAGAAATTGCTCATCTAACATTTGTTTTTTAAAAACTGAGCAGAAGGAAAAATGTTTAAAGTTTTAAATACAAGATATGTTCTGTTTGTTCTAACTGACCACTTCTACTTAGTCCAAAATAGGATATTTTTAATAAAGCTAGTGCGAATGTTGGCACACAGTGGGAAGAATCCTGAAGCCAAACGAGACAGACAACCCAGATGTGAACTGGCTGGCCAAAACACATGTTGATCTAGTTAAAAATAAGCTATTTTGTAAAGCCTTGTATTATTGGATTTATTTTATGGTGCAATAATGGTAGGTGCCTAAATAGATTTCAAAACCACGACTACCTCACTGAAATGCTATAGTAAAGTTTCCATTAAACAAAGTTACTAATACAAACATCAAAATAACGCTAAGGACTGTATTTTTAGGCAGCAGTTATATGTACCATCCTGGGAATATTAGCACAGAGGCCAGTCGTTTTATAGAATTGGTGCTGAAACTTCCAATCTGAATTGGAGAATCTGTGGTTGCTGCATATGGTGGGGGAAGTTCAAAAATGGCAGTGGCCGCGTCCCTGCCGTATGCAGCAACTGTATGAAAGCATTAAGGGCGACGCTGTACAAGTACAGTAGAAGAAAATCCATTCATCAGGATTCATGGACTTAATTCGGTCCCAATGATGAGGTGAAGGGGAGCCTCACCGGGAAGATGTAAATTAAGGGCAGAGCAAGCTGCAGGTGTCCAGGGCACCCAGGTTATGGAAAAAAGAGAGAATGGCTCTGAGCCCAGAAAAACACACCTCTTTTACCTGTCTGGCCCACCCTTGTATCCTATTACCATACTTCCTCCTCTGCCTCTCAGATCTTGCTCCTGAAGACTGCAGTGAAGAGGTGCAGATGCACATGTGCAAGATCTGAGAGGCAGAGAAGGAGGTACAGCAATAGGAAAATTGCCATACTGAAATCAAATCTGATGCGTTTTTAATTTTTTCTATTGTGTGTGTTGGAAGAGGGGTAGTCTTATACGGCAAGTATATCCCAAACTCTATATTTTAACTGGAAAAGTTGGGAGTCGTCTTATATGCCCAGTCGTCTTATATGCTGGAAAATACAGTAATCTTTCTGCTTTGTAAAAAATTACCTCCAGCACAAGTAGCAGAACATTCAGACCAAGGCAGGTGATTCCATGTAAAGCCAACTTCGTTGTCACCACTGCCAGTGCGAGAGATGGGAACATTGAATTTATACCTTATTCCCAGGTTTTGCTCCTGTAGTAAAATCTGCAATTGGAAATAGCTGGTTATACTATTTAAACAATTCAAAAAGAGTTAATTGACAATAAATGGCTGCATTTGTACTAGATCTCTACTTCCATAAAACAGTTTTGAAATTTAGTGTAGATATTGATTTGAATTTCCAGGAATTCCTTCTTGACCAGTGGTTTTCAACCTGTGGGTCCCCAGATGTTTTGACCTTCAACTCCCAGAAATCCTAAAAGCTAGTAAACTGGCTGGGACTTCTGGGAGTTGTAGGCCAAAACACCTTGGGACTCACAGGTTGAATACTGCTGTTCTAGACAAATAGTTAAGTGCCCCTTTCAAATGTAGTAAGAAAGTTTTGCAAGGAAGGAAGGAATAACGAGACAATAATGAATTGGTTTTTTTTTAAAGTACAACAAACAGTCTGATCTTTGTGAAATTCTACATTAGGATGTTTCAGAACAGAACACATTACCAATAAAGTTACTACAAAAAGAAATAATGGGACTTTAAAAATTCCTAAATCCAGTATAGTGCTAGCATATCTCCCATGGTACAATGGAGCTTTATTATCCTCTTCTCCCCAAAACTTGCCCACACACCCAAAACTATGCTGAGGAGAACCTCTCAGCCACTTGGGACACAAATTTCATGGATACATGGACATCGGCCGCCATATTAAAAACTGCTTTTGAAAATGAAAACTTTTTTTTCATTTTCAAAGCAATTTGCATTACAGGAGGACATAAGTTCATTTGAAAAATACCACTTCAACACCTGTGTGGTTGTACAAAATTAACTGTGAAGGGAAAGTGATAATATGGATCAAATGGCAACTGGCTGGGAAGAGAAGGTCATGAGCAACAAGGAAGGATAACTGACATGTGTGATAGAGGGCAAAACCCTATTAAAATACTCTGATCTACTTTCCCATGTTGTTATTTTTCAGCCCCAACTTGCTAGACATGAACTCACATTTTTTAAAAAGGCAATTACTTTACCATCACTATGAGGTTTTCTGAGGTAGGGCCTAAGGCTTCCAAAGATTCAGCTTCATCTGCTGGCCTTTTGTAATGGAAAGCTGTCCCAGCGACATCAAACTTTCTAGGCCAGTCAATAGTCCAGGCCCCATTAATATAATAATCATCCTCCTCAGATTTTAAAGCTTAAAAAAAAAATACAAAGTGCTTAAAAGCAAGAAAGAGCAAATCTGTATAAGAAAGGCCACAATTAACAGAGCAATGATATTATTGTTGATTCTATGGCTGCTTGTTTCCTGCAACCAGAGAAAAGGTGGGGTATTGATTTTCCCATTTTTAAGAACAGGACTCCTTTTTCCGAATCATTTTTATTAAATACACAGTAAACAAATCTACAAACGAACAATCCATGTGCTATCAATATAGACACAGAAAACACACTAAAACAATACTGATATTTTTCGAAAGCCTTCAATTTAATCTTCTCAGTTGTCATCATCTTCATTGTCTACTACTCATATTATTCTTGATTACACATACATAACTTTGTTTTGGCATACAGATTCCCCCCCCCAGCAATATACTCCCCCCCCCCCAACAGCATAAACAATTAACCATTTTGAGAACAGTATCTAAGTCAGGAAAGTATATTGTATTTAAAAATAAAATAGAACTTGTTGATGCCTTAATACAGCTTATACATAAAATCATTAAGAATTTTAACATTTTACATAGTTGCTTATCTAAAATAACAATAAGCATGATAAGATGCATCTAGTTTAGAACTTTCCCCGCTTTAAACATATCATGCTTATAATTCTGTTACAATCTTCTATATACTTAAGTATATTTTGTTTTATTCCCCCTCCTTATCCCTTTCCCTTTTCTTGTGCCACCTCCACCTGGGCCAACTCATCTTATCCTTTAATTCGAAAATTTAATTGTTTCTGTTGCAGGTTTGCTTCTCTTTCCTTCAATAAATATAAACTCAACTAAATTTACCCCATATGTTCCAAAAATCTGTTTGCTTCCATATTCCCTTTATAGCTTTAATGTCACATGTCAGTTTATCAATAATCGCTATATTCCAAATTTCTCTATACCATTCTTCTAATTGGGTTTCCCTTTTATTTTTCCAGTTCTTTGCAACTATCAGTCTCGCAACCATTAGTAAACTAGAGGTCAATTCTTTCTCTTGTTGTGAGGGTATCGTCTTATCCTATATTGATAACAATGCTATTTCTGGTGTACAATGCTATTTCTGGTTGTTGTTGTTGTTCATTCGTTCAGTCGTCTCCGACTCTTCGTGACCTCATGGACCAGCCCACGCCAGAGCTCCCTGTCGGCCGTCACCACCCCCAGCTCCCTCAAGGTCAGTCCAGTCACTTCAAGGATGCCATCCATCCATCTTGCCCTTGGTCGGCCCCTCTTCCTTTTGCCTTCCACTTTCCCCAGCATAATTGTCTTCTCTAGGCTTTCCTGTCTCCTCATGATGTGGCCAAAGTACTTCAACTTTGTCTCTAGTATCCTTCCCTCCAGTGAGCAGTCGGGCTTTATTTCCTGGAGGATGGACTGGTTGGATCTTCTCGCAGTTCAAGGCACTCTCAGAACTTTCCTCCAACACCACAGCTCAAAAGCATCGATCTTCCTTCGCTCAGCCTTCCCTAAGGTCCAGCTCTCACATCCGTAGGTTACTACAGGGAATACCATGGCTTTGACTAGGCGGATCTTTGTTGCCATTCTGATGTCTCTACTCTTTACTATTTTATCGAGATTGGACATTGCTCTCCTCCCAAGACGTAAGCGTCTTCTGATTTCCTGGCCACAGTCTGCATCTGCAGTAATCTTTGCACCTAGAAATACAAAGTCTGTCACGGCCTCCACGGTTTCTCCCTCTATTTTCCAGTTGTCAATCATTCTTGTTGCCATAATCTTGGTTTTTTTGACGTTTAGCTGCAACCCGGCTTTTGCGCTTTCTTCTTTCACCTTGATTAGAAGGCTCCTCAGCTCCTCCTCGCTTTCGGCCATCAGAGTGGTGGCATCTGCATATCTGAGGTTGTTAATGTTTCTTCCAGCAATTTTCACCCCAGCTTTGCATTCATCAAGCCCCGCACATCGCATGATGTGTTCTGCATACATTAAAAAGGTTGGGTGAGAGGATGCAGCCTTGCCGTACGCCTTTCCCAATCTTGAACCAGTCTGTTGTTCCATGGTCAGTTCTAACTGTTGCTACTTCAGCTTTGCATTCTCAGGAGAGAGACAAGGTGGCTTGGGATGCCCATCCCACCAAGAACTTGCCACAATTTATTATGATCCACACAGTCAAAGGCTTTAGAATAGTCAATGAAGCAGAAGTAGATGTTTTTCTGAAACTCCCTGCCTTTCTCCATAATCCAGCGGATATTGGCAATTTGGTCTCTCGTTCCTCTGCCTTTTCTAAACCCAGCTTGAACATCTGGCAACTCTCGCTCCATGTATTGCTGGAGTCTTCCTTGCAGGATCTTGAGCATTACCTTACTGGCATGAGAAATAAGGGCCACTGTACGGAAGTTTGAGCAGTCTTTCGCATTTCCCTTTTTTGGTATGGGGATATAAGTTGATTTTTTTCAGTCTTATGGCCATTCTTGTGTTTTCCATATTTGCTGGCATATGGCATGCATCACCTTGACAGCATCATCTTTTAAGATTTTAAACAGTTCAGCTGGGATCCCGTCGTCTCCTGCTGCCTTGTTGTTAGCAATGCTTCTTAAGGCCCATTCAACCTCACTCCTCAGGATGTCTGGTTCTAATTCATTCACCACACCGTCAAAACTATCCTCAATATTATTATCCTTCCTATACAGATCTTCTGTATAGTCTCGTCACCTTCTCTTGATCTCTTCAGCTTCTGTTAGGTCCCTGCCATCTTTGTTTCTTATCATACCAATTTTTGCCTGAAATTTACCTCCAATGTTTCTAATTTTCTGGAAGAGGTCTCTTGTCCTTCCTATTCTGTTGTCTTCTTCCACTTCCATGCATTTGCTTATTTAAAAATAGTTCCTTATCTCTTCTGGCTAACCTCTGGAATTGCGCATTTAACTGGGCATATCTCCCCTTATCCCTGTTTCCTTTTGCTTTCCTCCTTTCTTGGGCTACTTCCAGTGTCTCAGCAGACAACCATTTTGCCTTCTTTGTTTTCTTTTTCTTTGGACGTACTTTGTTGCCGCCTCCTGAACAATGTCTCGGACTTCTGTCCATAGTTCTTCTGGGACTCTGTTTACTAAATCTAGTCCTTCAAATCTGTTCTTCATTCCACTGTATATTCGCTAGGAATGTTAGTGAGATCATATCTAACTGGTCTGTGTATTTTCCCTGATCTCTTTAGTTTTATTCTAAATTGGGCAATAAGAAGTTCGTGATCTGAGCTACAGTCAGCCCCAGGTCTTGTTTTCACCGACTGGATGGATGTCCGCCACCTTTGGCTGCAAAGGATGTAGTCAATCTGATTTCGGTGTTGACCATCTGGTGAGGTCCATGTGTAAAGCCGTCTTTTAGGTTGTTGGAAGAGAGTATTCGTTATACACAGCGAGTTTTCCTGGCAAAATTCTATCAGCCTGCGTCCCGCTTCATTTTTTTCTCCCAGACCATGCTTGCCTGTGATCCCTGTTGTCATTTGACTTCCCACCTTGGCATTCCAGTCTCCTGTAATGAAAATAATGTCTCTTTTTGGTGTATTATCCAGTAGGTCCTGCAGATCCTCATAGAACTGATCTACTTCTGCTTCTTCAGCAGCTGTGGTTGGGGCGTATATTTGGATCACTGTAATGTTGAAAGGCTTTCCTTGCACTCGAATTGAGATCATTCTGTCATTTTTTGGGTTGTATCCAAGCACCGCTTTAGCGAATTTCTTATTAATTATGAAGGCTACTCCATTTCTTCGATGTTCCTCTTGTCCGCAGTATTAGATCTGGTGGTCATCTGATGTGAAGTGGCCCATTCCAGTCCATTTCAGTTCGCTGACCCCCAGAATGTCTATCTTTAGTCTTGACATCTCACCAATAACAACATCCAATTTGCCCTGGCTCATAGGTCTTACATTCCAGGTTCCTATGGTGTGTTGATCTTTAGAGCATCGGATTCGTCGTTCACCTCCAGTACCGTCGGCCGCTAGCCTTCCTTTCGGCTTTGAGCTAGCTGCGTCATCACATCTGGGGCTAGTTGAACTTATCCTCTGCTCCTCCCCAGTAGCATTTTTGCCATCTTCCGACCTGGGAGTCCCATCTTCCAATGGCATACCGACATATCTCTGGTTGTACTGGTCCATTTAGTTTTCTTGGCAAGGATACTGGAGTGGTTTGCCATTGCCTTCCCCAGGGATCACGCTTGGTCTGACCTCTCTGCCACGACCGTCCCGTCTTGGTGTCCCTTCACGGTTTCGCTCATGACATCATTGAGGTGCTCAAGCTCCAGCGCCCCGACAAGGCGGTGATCCTTTGCTGGAGTATTTCTGGTTAACTCTATTTTTATTATTGTTCTTATTTATTTAAATGCTGTTTTCCATTTTTTGTATAAAGTTAGATATTCTTTTTAAAGTATTTTCTCTTCTCATTAAATGCAGTGGAAGTGAATTACTGTAGCAAATAATTTCTTCTGTACAAAAAATGTAAGGTAAAAATATGTAATTCTACAAAATGTAGATATTTTAGAGTTCTTAAGGAACTGACAAAATGAGTATCATCTGCTGTCAGCTGTCTAAACAATATTAGTTTATGCAACAGAGACTATTCAAACCATGCATTAAAGAGCATTAGAAAGAAAACTTTATCTAATCTCCAAGTCAGTGCTATTTAAAGACCAAATGGATTCTGGTACCAGGGGCAAATGCAGATGTTTAATGTTTGGCAAAAACCTTGGATATGTCATTCACACTTTTAAACTGAAAACAATATTTTCATTTTGAAAACCAGACAATTTACCCAACACTTGTAAGAGCTTATTACTGAGTTGTTATGTGGCATTCCCATATCATGAATTTACACAACACTAAATTACAAGAGAAAAATATGAAGTAATTTTTTTGCATTGAATCTAGCTCACCTGTAATGTTTTGCATGTTTTGTGTAATACTATTTCAGTATAAAAACCTGGAAGTCCAATTATATCATGATGATACAGAAAGCGAGAAAGATCTTCATATAAACCTAACTGATGAGATTCTAGGGGCCCATGTTACATTGTATTTCATAACAGGATCCTGATTTATCATTTCACGTTAAAGGTCAGATTTTACTATCCAATAGAACTACACGAAACTGGATTCTATAGTGGTCAAGAAACCCAAGCTGCAAAACACTCCTTAATTGATTACATTAGGTCATATGTTGTCCAATTCCAGATAACCTTACATTTTATTCTAACACTTTCTTCTAACACCATGGCTAGAGTTGGTATTTCTGGCTCATTAACTGACCCCATTCATACAAAAAAGGAGCAAAACAAGGATGTCTACTGGCACCAATACTCTTTAATCTATACAATACAAAAGAACTCTTTAATCTATACTTGAATGATATAATACCTGCACTCTCGGGGCGAGAATTTTTCCCACCTAGGATCCATGAAAATCTCTATTCTATTATTTGCAGATTACATGGTTCTAATCTCAATTACCCAAATTGGCCTGAGAAGACTTCTTTCTAAGATTGGTGCATATTGTTCTAAAGAAAAGCTGAATATCAACTATATTTTTTAAAAAATGTAATGGTGTTTGGAAGAAGACACTCTCAACACAGATGATCCATCTGGGGTCACCAAATAGACCACTGTCGGGAATTTAAGTACCTTGGAATCCATTTCACAGAAAAAGTATCCTGGAAACCACAAGTCTATTGGAGCAATACTCAGATTCTACAACACTGCAGGGAGTCATCTAGTTGCCCCAGTCCTTAAAATATTCCAGAGTAAAGTTATATCCCAGATTTTGTATGGTGCTGCTGCCTGGGGATGGGATGAGTGCCAGACAGTGAAAAAGGTTGGTCTCTCTTCCATTAGATCACATGTTCACTTCACCCTATTTAATTATTGGAGAAGTGTAAAAGACTCCTCAGTTAGGGTTCTCCCCAAGGGCTGATTTGAACAGCTAGCAAAATGCAAAGTCTGGAATACAAGATACCAGAAGTTGCTTGAATTTCACCCCACTGTCTGATAAGCCCTCTATCTTGAACTCAAGGGAGAGGCTCCATGAATATATTTTTAATCACTGTGCCAATCATGATAGGCAGGCTATTAATAACTCCCAATTTTCCCACTGGTTCAGACTGTACAAACTTGACCATGATAGGGTTATCTACCTGACTAGGCTCACATTTCCAAAACATAGGCAAGCCTTCACAGCCCTTCGTTTTCAAAAAATGCCCACAGCTGTGATTGATGGTAGATACATGAGTACTCCTCTAGCTCTTTATTTGTTTATGGGCCCCCGGTTTGCCTCATGATTTGTTTTTCTGTTCTCTGTACTCTGAGCCAAGAACTAAAATCCTGGGGCCTAATCTTTATCTCCTTCAAACCAACACCGTGTCAGAAAAGTTTTTCTATCTCTTGGCTGACACTAACCCTGTGATTACTCACCAGACATCTCTTTTTTGCCCTGGTAGCACAGAAAATTCGGGTAAGACTAATTTCTGACATTGCAGTTGACTGTGTTGAGGATGCTTTTAACTAATAGTGGCAGTTTACATAGTTTTAATAATGCTGTATCTATTTGATTTTACCTGGTTTTTAATTATGCAGGTGTGAGTCCATACAGTATGTAGTATTTTAAAAGTGCATCTCGCAACCGATATATGTAGCATTTTAATGATTTATAGGATTTTAATTGTGTATTTTATATTGTATTTAATAATCTGGTTTTCATGTATTTATGTATTTGCATTATATGTGAAAAACCTATGATCTAAGATTTGAATAAACTTGAAACTTGAAAGGGAAAATTATAAGTTAACACTTGAATAAATCCCAGTCATTCGATTGATCTAGTCTAGTTGACCCTAGCAAGTTAATTTATACTCCCCCGTGTTACCAGATTTTCAAAATTCAAGCAATTTTACTTAAATTTATTTTTGTTTCTAAACATCCCAGTGTAGCTCTCAAATTAGTGTGATCCTTCAGTAGTTTCACTGAGTCCAGTGGAATGGATGTCCCTGAAAGTAGGTATTTGTAACCTTAATGTAGTATCTATTTATACTCCAATTTCATGTAAACATATGTAATCTTATCTCTCATGTTTGTTATCTGAATTCCACATCTTTATCAAGTTTTGAAATTTAATATAAGAACAGTATCTTACCAATGTAGTTTTTTGACACTGTCACTTCTTTGATTTCTATGTGAACAGAACCTTTTGGAATCTGAACGACTTCCATGTAACCTACAATATAAGATTATATTAATTTGATAATAGCTATACATGTTCTTAAATTGGCTAACCAATACTTTTCAGGAGAATAGGCAAAAATCCTGCCACTGAAGCAAACAGATTTCAAAGAAGAGAAGTTAATTTCTGCCCCCACATAACAAAATATGAAACAACAAAATTGACATTTGTTTCCACCATGTTATAATAAGACATGTCAAGGCAACATGACTTTTAAGGTAGAAGTAAGGAGAACAAATACAATGTTGAACTTTAACCTTTATATAACAAAAAGAAAAAAAATCTTGTCCAAAGTGATTTGTGTGATATTTCCTGAACCCAGTGAAATTCTCTTAGCATTGAGGGTTTATTTATTTATTTATTTATTTACTGTATTTGTATACCGCCTTTCTCGGCCAATTGGCGACTCAAGGCGGTTTCCAACAAATCAGTATACATAAAACATAATATAGATAAAAAACATTAAACAGTATAAAACATAACAAAAGCAATAAAAGCAACATCATCACCGTCTCATTATTCTCAAGCATTGTCCAATTCCATTGTCAAGTCATTCGATTTCCTATATTAGCTACTCTGTATTTGTAAATGCTTGCTTGAATAGCCACGTTTTAACTTGCCTCCAAAATGTCAAGAGGGAGGGAGCAGATCTGATCTCCCTAGGGAGGGCATTCCATAGCCGAGGGATGAGGACAATTGGAATCATGAAATAACAGGATACAATGTATATTCTGTTATTTCATGATTCCAATTGTCCTCATCTGTGGCTCTAGGTGCCCTAATTGGGCCAAAGACAAGCAGCAGTTTTAGGAAGTCACAATGACAAAAGGCAAAGTGAGGCTTGGAGTCTGCTTAGAGCAAAGGGACTGATCAGTAACAAGTTATGTAGAGATAAATATAGAAATGTCTTATTGGATAATTATTCAATGAAAGGAGAAGGGAAAAGACCACTACAGGAAGTGTCTTGAAGTAAAGAAAAGTCGGATAATAGGATGCCGGGAATATTGAGAATACGGATCAGATTAATAAAATGCTTTTGTTAACCTTTGGCAGGTGCAATTGAGTCTATTTGTATTGGCACATCATATGGCAACTCTAAACATTCTTCTGTGTGGATTCTGAGGATCTAAAACATCCTGCCCTAGTAGTAGAAATAATCTATAACTGAATAACCATGGCAGAAACCCACTCATGTCCACTTCCAAATGCAATATAAAATGTGGGTGGGTCTGGGGGAGGGGGGTTGTGTGTTTTAAAATGTACTTAATTGTATGTATTATATTTTAACTGTATTTTAAACTAACCCACACAGTATTATTTGTTTGTTTTTTAATTTTTGTATTTGCTTTGTTTTAAATCGTGAGCAAAGTGTGTGGTTGACAGCTGCCTTAAGGCCTATGAGGAGAAAGGTGGAGCATAAATAAAGTAAGAAGAAGAAGAAGAAGAAGAAGAAGAAGAAGAAGAAGAAGAAGAAGAAGAAGAAGACTTAATAAGGGGAAATGGCAGCATGCAGAGTCACTGTTCTGTTTGATTACTCCCCTCTGCACAGCAGACATCTTGGTGACCTGTGCCTTCACACGTACCTCCTCTGGGCAATGTGTCATTGAAAAAACCTTCAATAACTTCACACGTACTTCCATCTCCACCACATACTCGACATCTGTCTTCTTTAGCCTCAGATCCCAAAATATTGTCACACCCAACATGCTGAAAATAGGTACAATTTAATTATTTTAATTACCTTACTTCAAAATAATGTGCAACCATGCCTTTTTAATATGTTATAGTCAAATTTTTATTCTAATTAAAATAGCTATAACATCTCACTTGCCTTCAACTTAATTTGTATTTGTGTGGCAACAATATTATTGACAAACAATAAATAATTATTTTGAAGCTACTGCTTCCTTATTTATTATTCTTTAACATTTTCCCTGTATTGCAGTAGCATGTCTGTTATCATCCCCCATCATTAAGTGGCTGAAGGTTGCTTATGTTTCAGAAATCAGAAGAAAAATAGGTATCAATGTTGTTTTTTCCAGACTTTTTAAAAATAAGATTTTTATTTACCTACCTATTCTGCAACTTAAAAATACAAGACCATTCTAAAATGTTCTATTATAAATAATTCCACTAATTAACATCCTGTCCTGTGTATATAAGGCACATTACCAGCAAGGAATCTCTGTCAAAAGGGAAAAGGATGGTTGCCAATGGGGCTTTTTGGAAGCTTGTGCACAAGAGGAGTGTGCTGATAGAAAAAGATTTTTCAAACACTTTAATGAATAGCTTACTGCTACTAAATGTTATTTAAACGTGTAAGAAATATAGCACCTTGCATTCACCATTGATACAAATATCCAGTGAATCTGCATTGCATTGTGTTCCATCTATAACTGCAGGGGCGCGTTCAGTATAAAAGTTGTAACCTTCTGCTAAGCAGTTTAATGCACATGGTTTAACCCCACCTAGACAAATAAAACATTGTTTAAAACTTAGAAAAAAATCTAAGCATGAATTATTGACAATCTAAAACATAATGTATGTCCCATTGCTCCCCACAGAGACAAACACATATGAATATATTTCAGTCACAAAGTATGTCATGAATCTCCTTCAATAGTCCTGCATTCCCCTCCTTTTTCTGACTTCTTATCGATGCTCAATTTCCTTCAGCCTCAGAACTTTCTGCCTGATATTGGAATCAGAATTGCAATATCAGTAATCTACATTTGTTAAAGTGAACAATATTCTGTGTTGTCTCTGTGACAAGACTCTTTCTTGCAATACTGTGGGTGCAAACTCTTGAATAGTTCTGGAGTCTGGTTACAAGTAAATTAGTTTTATTTAATTTTTCCAGAGTTATTTCTATCCTATTTTTTCTGTAAATGTTGTCTCAGATCATTCAAAATCATTAAAAGTTTAAAAGTTTTAACCTTTATAAATGAATAGTTCCAAAGCTAACTTTACTCATAGAAATGAATGTAATGTTGAAAAACGAGCATGTGTAGAATCAGCAATTGTATCAACAGGATGCATAAAACATGATTTAGACTTATGAATGGAGGGATGGGAATAAATTGTTGGATTCAACACATGTCCACACTGCCCAACACTTCTAAGAAAATAGGAATCCTGCCTTAAGGATTTGCACATTTGTGAGGATTAAAAAGTGCTCCCAAGAAACAAAATGTGCTCGGAAATTGTGTACAGTTTTAAAAAAACAAATGGAAAAATGCATAAAATTAGGAAAAATACACAGAATCATAGTTCAGTGTGGGAATTTTGTAAAATAAATTCCAAAAATAAATGCTGCGTTTCTTATAAATGGATTCAAACTGTAAATTTCAGTAGATAGAGAAAATGCGAAGTCTTGATATAAAACAAGGATAGGAAAAATGCAAAGCTTTATAAAATTGTATAAGTCTTTCATTTCTCTATTGCTATGTAGTAAATATTACATGTTCTTTGTCCAAGTGGATCAAACCTTCCTTTGTTTTGTAACTTCATAATCACCATAAAAAGAATTTTATTAAAACCCTAAGAGCTAATATGGTGCACTGTAAGTTCAATTTGTAAATAGGAATCCTGAACTTCAAAAAGGAATAAATAATAATAATAATAATAATAATAATAATAACAACAACAACAACAATAACTTTATTTAAATCCCTCCACCATCTCCCCAAGGGGACTCGGGGCAGCTTACATGAGGCCAAGCCCAACAAAATACATCAGTAAAAATCAACAAAGCAAGCAAGCAAATAAAACACAATGCAATATAATAAATAACATAACATAAGCAATTAACACACAAAAGATTTAAAACACTGTGGGCAGGGCCAGATGTAGCAGATTAAAAGTTTAAAATACCGGGTGTGAACAGAATACTTTTTAAAATACTTTTAAAATACTTTTAAAAAAGGGAATGATCTAGCTCTTCTTTACATTGTACATTTACACAATGGTTCATATAACAGCCACAACCAAAACCGAATGGAGAAATATCAGCTAGGTTGGATGTCACATTTTTTTATTTGCTAATGTGGATTCACCAAGCTCCTTTCTATAAATGATGGGAGGCCTGGTAGACCAATAAGCATCACTCATTTTGAACTAACCAACCAATGTATGGAAGCAAGAGTCAGGGTATTTCAGTGCTTGTGAAATTAGTCACAGGTTTGTACTTAGGGTATACAGAAAGTATCTATGCACAACCACAGCCTGATTCCTGCAGAAATAACCTCCCTGCAAAGGTAGCCCCCTTCTATGGATTGGCCTTTGCCATATCATATGAATACTCTTATACTAAATGTAAAACCTTGATATAGGTTGTGGTACAAGCCAATGATGATAAAGCATGCGTATCTTTAATATGAGGCCAAAAAGTAATGCATACCCCCTCTCTGATCCATAGGAGAAAACTCCATAGTCTATCTTCCACATGAGGGGCCCAGAGCTGAATTATATGTGGGGATATCAAACTATATAGTACCTCCTGTATATGGTTTCCAGTTGTAATATTTTCCTCTGAAAGGCATATTGTCAAAGTCTGCACATTGTTTCTCTCGAAAATCACGGGCCCCAAAAGGACATGGCTGATAAAAATTAAAAAAATTAAACTTAGTTTCATATTAACATAAAAATCAAAGATATAGTAAACATCTCACAAATTACATCAAATCAATGACAGCATTGTATAAGTCTTTCATTTCTCTATTGCTCAGCATTAATCCAATCAGTCTTTTCTACAAATATGCTTCATGTTGGCTAGAATAAAGATAACTATACTAACCAAGGAACTGCAGCTATAGTTTGTGATGCACACCATTTAACAAAATTTAAACACATAGCCCCAAAGTCTTTGTATTGCTGGACATGGCATCATATGTGATACAATGGACAATGGCAGTCTCAGCTTCCCCAATATTTTGACAAGAGATTGATCACTAATTTGATTTAGACCAATCTGGAGTTGGTCTGGTCCAATTAAGACTGAACTTGTTGACATCTTCATACCTCCCACTGATTTATTTGGGTAAACTGAAAAGGCTTAAGCATTTTTATTTTGTACACGGACTACATGAAATCTGGACACAAGTGTATGTACTGCTTAAAATCACAGAGTTGGAAGAGACCACATGGACCACCTAGTCCAACCCCGTGCCATGCAGGAAAAGCATAATCAAAGCACCCCTGACAGATGGCTTGGGAATTAAGACTACTTACTATGTGGGAGACAATAATACTAAACAAATATCACAGCTCAATCTCAAAACTAGGCTAAAGGAAAGTGCCACATGAATGTATACAAAAGAAGAAGGGAAGAAGCACTACCCAATAAACTAATTACTGATATAAAGCCGAGACAAGCACACTTGTACGGTTAATCAATGTTAGGAAATATCAAGAAGAGTAAAGAATGGGACTGGACTTTAAAAAAAGGTTATATCAAGAGGATTAAAGGCTGGGTTCTGGTAGAAGAAAGGAAGGAGAAACACAAGATACTGTAAAAATAAAACTGCCATCAAAATAAAACAAATAACTTTCAAAAATATTTCTGCTAATAGAAAAATAATAACAATAATAAAAATCAGAAAGAAATCTAACTGTATCATCCTTTACCCCTAAGCACTAGTTGGAAAACTGTTGATATTGTAACCCCACACTTGAAGTGACAGTTGTTAGCGAAACAACTCCAAGTCCCCCCCTCCCGCAATTCCGTCTGGCATTTTCCTTATATGGTGCTGCTGTTTGGTATTTTGGAGAGACACTTTCTGACTTTCCTGGAATCTAATTTCAGATCACTGAATAAGCTCAAATGAAGTTGTGGTTGGAGGCCTCCATGTTAGTGGAGTTGTTACTGAGGATGTTAGTGGGATTCGCTTTTTTTAAAAAAAAGCAGTGCCAGAATCCATAAAATTTCTCCATCAAATATTTTCATACTTTTTTAAAAAAAATTCCATTTATTTTGTAATATTCATTGCTTATCTTTTTTGGCACCAATCTTTTTTGGCACCAATCCAACAGCACACTGCATTCTGCTTGCTGTCAATATCTCAGGCCTATTCAGAGGATCTTATTGCTAGAAATGGCGTAGACATTTCTCTCTTGACTTGATCTTTTCCATCCCACTGCTTCTCTAATGTTGCTACCCAATTTGTCACAAATATTGTCTAAATGCTGGCTTTTCTCTAGGGATCTGAAGAATCAATGATTTGAAATTATGCCTTCCCCTTCTGCACTATTAGCTTTGTTCTCAAGAAATTTATTATTAGATTAAAAAGAAAACCATGTTACTCAAAGCAATTAATGTGGTTAAATATTTCTGCTATGATTTTCAGCATAGTCTCAAGTAAATTATTTGTTTGTGTTTTGACTGTGGTTTCAACTGCAAGACATGACATTTTTTTCCCTGTGGTTTGGGTGTGAGCAAAGATGGGCAGGACAATGTTAAATATGTGTGGTCAAATAGGAGAACGGAATCACATCCAATACTTACAAGCCTTTTTTTCCACTTCAGAGTGGAGGTTTTTTGGGTCTTTTGATAAATTTACAGGCAGAACTCTGAAGATCTTTAGTCAATGCTCACCTAGTTATCACTTTTTTCAATATAATTCTTACTAAAACGCTAAAGTATTCAGGATGAATCTTTAAATTATTTTACAAAATTAACTTTGATTACTTGGAAAAAATTAGAGAGAAAAATACATCTTTTCCCAATGACACTAAACTAGCTCTTTGAATGTTTCCTTTTATTGGCTTCACAAAAATATTAAAAAGGTTAAGAGTAAGAAAGAATCTTGTGGCCCTTGAAAGACATTCCAACAGAAGCCCTTGGAATCCCATTCTGGTTTTATCCCTCAAAAAACAAAAACCTGTAACCAACAAAACAATGTGTGTTCCAGAACCCCTTCCCCAATCTTGGGGAATTCTATTTCCCAGAATCCTATAGTCAATAGTATCTGGGCATCTCAGGTGCACAGAATGGTTCATGATGTAAAAGGCTAATGACAGGTCCAGGAGAACTAACAGAATTCACCCTCACTGTCTGTTCTCCAACACAAGTAATTCACCAAGGTAATCATGGCTATTTTTGTCCCAAAATATGCACGAAAAAGATTGAAACAGATTGCAACAATCAGTATAATCCATGTTCATCATGAATCAAGAAACCACTACGATTTGTAGTCATTTAGAATTGTAAGTCACTCTGAGTCCCCTTCTGGGTGAAAAGGGCAAGGTATAAATGTAATAAATAAATAGTAAATAAATATCTTTGATAATGATAAATAATTGTCTAGAATTGAGGGATGTAAAATATATTTTTTTTAAAAAAAAAGAAACACAAAGGATTAAGCACCACTTTTGTAGCTATAATTGAGTTCAGTGGGACTTTTTAGTAGATAAGTACAATGCTGTGTTGTGAAATGCTGAAGTACACAAACAACTAGAATAATACAATCTATTTGTTTAAGATAATAGCTGATGAACATTTGGATAGAATCAAGTTGATGCATTACATTGGTTAGCATGATTATTATTATTTTTTGAAGGATTGTGCAGCAGAAGAGGCAGAGGAAGGCAGAAAATGTCATAATCAATGGTGATTATGTTTTCCAGACCAACATTCCCCATACACCTTGGCATTGAGAACCCACTTAAGAAGTCAGGCATTGTAGAAACATGGAAACAGCTGCTTTCTCTGCAGACTCAATAATCTTACCTGCATAGTATACCAAGCTACATTCTTGGTTACTTTTGTGTCATAATTATGAGTTACACAAGTTTTAATACTGTTTAAAATGATGAGCAAGGACTTCTCCAGTACTTTCCATAGGAACATTTTCTCCCAGCTGTGCAACACAGCTTGACAGCCTCATGTGCAATTCCATCCTCTAGCCTACATGACCATTGACTGGCTGTAGGGATGTGCCCAGACACTGTTTAATTGCTGTCATCCAGCAGCTTTTGCACTCCCTGACAGGTTGCACTTTATGCATCACCAACATCCAACAGGATCACAGCCCATGTTTCTAAATTGTATGGCTTGTGCTTATTCTAGGGCCTTCGATTTTAACATTAGCAAACATGTTATCCATCAAGAATCTGTTAAATGTCTGAAAGTCTTTGTTGAAGTGTGTCTACTTAGAGTTATGTACATTGAACCTGAAGGGTTAAACAGGTCAGAGGAAAGGGAAAGAAAATAGCTAGCCTTTGAAGTAAAAATGCAGCCAATAAGATTTTTGTTTATGAATAATTAGAGCTTTAGGGAGTAATACTTCTAAATTACAATAGGAACAGTGAATGCTGACATAAGTCAAAACTTTATAGAAAGTAATGCATTTTTCATGCAAATAATGACAAGCACAGGAGACCTGTGGCTTTTTAATACACACATTAATCAAATGTCCCTCTCTTCAAATGCCTTTTGCTTCAAAGAGTATTGAGTAATAAGATTCTTCATAAATCCTGAAAATGACTCTGTCTCAGCAACTTAATTTAATTAAACCCATATTAGTAACATTGAAATCTAATGCTAGAGCTTTAAAGTATTGTTTAAGTTTCTCCAAAATTAAAATGGTGGAACATCAGAATATTTAACACCCTCTTCATGATTACAAAAATGTAAACCATGTATTCATCTTAAAATTTAAATTTGAACCTAGAACTTTTAAGAAGATAAACTTTAATAAGGGGAATCTTAACTACAGTAAGATCTGAAAAAATGTTCATTAGAAAGATAGTAGGGCTGGGCGGTTTCGTTCGTTAATTTCGTAATTCGTTATTGATTCGTATTTAAATTAGCTTACGATCCGATATTGAGCCATGCAGGAGCAACTAAAAATCGAAACGAATTTTTCAATTTATTTCGTAATTGTTTCGTAATTGTTTCGAAATTGTTTCGAAATCGTTTCAAAATCGTTTCGTTATTATTTCCGTATGTCTGGTGCAAGTTTTATAGTTGTTGTTTGTTTTATCAGTGATAAAAAAATAAATTATCACACCAACAGTCAACAACAGAGGGAGAGGGAAGCTTCAGAAGTTCCCCCTGTCCCATTTGGAGGTTTTTTTAGCGTATTGCGCAATCGCATCCGCCATTAACGAATCAATTAGAAATTTACGAAATTTCGTAAATAACGAAATTTTTTTAAAGAAAAATTCGGAATTCTTTTAAAAAACGAAACGCAATGGACCCCCTAAAAACAAAACGGGTTTAGAAACAAATTTTTCCGTTGTTACCCAGCCCTAAAAGATAGCTTGTTTTCATATTTTCCCATAATAACAGTAATAACAGTGTTACGTAAGGAAGGTAAAATGGAGCATGCTAAACATGAAACAGCAATATTATTATTGCACGAATTGTGATATCCTATTATCTCAAATGTAACTAAGAGGATTTAAACCTCTGGAGATGATAGGCATTACTTCAGGGTAGGTTCTTACTTACAACCCCTCTAAGTTACAATGGAAAACATAATCTATGATTGCCTTCAGAAAATGAAGCTCCAACTAGTTTATCTTCTCTTGTTGTTGATGACGATCATGTGCCCTAAAGTTGACTACAGTTTGTGGCAACCCTAATATCTGATTTTATTGGCAATATTTATCCAATGAAGTCCTGCCACTGATTTACTCCGGGGCTAAGAAAGTGTGGATTACCCAAGGTCACCTAAAGTGCTTTTATGGACACATAATGCAGCTTGAACAGGCACAAAAACTGGCCATGCAGCCCAGCTGTGCCAACAGCAGTTTGGCACAGGCAATTCCTTCTGAACTTCCCTTCTCCCCTATCCACCACCACCACCCTCCTCCATTGGCAGGGAATTGTCCTTCCCGTTGTAGGAGGCTGTCTCTTCCTGGATCACCCTCACTGATAATACAATGTTTCTTTGGAGCAGGAAACCTCCTCCCTGGGGAGCATGGGATGACTGTGGGGATGCCATTTGGGATCACGCATAGCAATCCCAGATGGCAGTCTTCACTGCCAGAGCACCTGCAAAGATTCGGCTCTTCCCAGAAGATCCATAACTTTGCGGGGTTTTTTAAAAAGGCTTACCCGGGGTTAAACTGCACCAACCTGGGTGCATCCAGGTTAATGTGCCAGCTACATGGCATTATATGGCAGTGTAAATGGGGTTCTAGTGAGATTCTGTGCCTCAGTATAAATTCTAACTTTGGTCTTCAAGCCTACCCACACACTCAAATCACTGTACTACACTGGCTTAGTTTAATCCATACTTTTGGAGATTTAATTTTGAAAATTTACTTTGGGATTTTAACACAAGGATTTTCCTCTGTGTCACAATTCCATTTGACATTAATTTTTATTCTTATTATCTACTCTATTGTTGCTTTAATTATTCTCTGAATATGTATATAAATACTGCTTTGATCACAATAGTGGACAGAAAGGTTATATCATTTAGACTGAGAAATATTGAAAGGTTGTTTAATCATACTTTGGGAATTAGGAAGAATGCTGAAGTTACATAGAACTACATGCTGCTATAAGAAAATGCTTCTCATTATCCCTTCACTGTTCATACAGGTAAGAGTGGCTCATACTTGAGCATCCTGTGACCATCTTGATTTCTGTCACTATGATTACGTATCAACCTTTCTGCAGTATCTATAACATCAATTACTTCAATTGTTGATATTCAATACTGAAAGGCCTTAGGTCTGTTTATATGAATATACACTTAAGGTTGTAATTCTAAATTGATTCCTCTGGAAGTAAATCCCATTTATCACAAGGTAACATACTTTTGGAAAATTTTATACAGTGCTTCTGGAACATGGCCATACAATCCAGAAAACTCACAGTAACTCATTGATTCCAGCCATGAAAGCCTTCGACAACACATTATATAAAATACTGGATTGCAAGAGAATTGCTCTTTAGAAACTCTGATATCTTCTGGGGAAATATTTAGTTACATTTCAGCTTAGCTTTGATCTACTCACATCAGTATTACAGGAGCGATATCGTTTCCTTTCTCCAAGGCAATATTTTCCACCACCTGAAGGTCTGGAAAACATGTTGTAAATTTTATTAATTTTATACATTTGGAAATATAAAAGGCGTAACAATGAAAAAAAATGCGTTTTTCACAGTTCCTTTGAAATGAAAAATACTATATTCTTAAAAACTTCATATTTAAGGAATATGAACTCAAGTGTGAGAAATATATATTTAAGTTAGGTTTTTCTTTAAAAATGTTATCTAAAAATGACAAGTTAATGTAAACCGAATAATTCCCAAAACAATCCTGGATGTGTCTACTCAGCTGCATTCAATGGGACCTAGTTGTAGGTATGTGTTTAATGGTTTCCAGCTTTGTTTAATAATAAAGTTACACTGACAGTTTAGAGGGGCCAAAAGTAATGAGCATGACTAAGCCAATTTTCATTTAAGGGATGGGGGAATTAAGCTGATAAAACTTGCAGCTTCTTATCTGTAGTCAAATGTTTTGTTAAAACAGAAATTAGCTAAGATCAGGTCAAAAGTATTAGAAAATGAACACATAGTCAAGTATATAGAAAGGTGTTCTTGTTTTAAGCTGCATGAAGATGGAAGCTTGTACAGATCATGGATGGGAAACTTCTGGTCCCCATGACAAAATTTTCTTCTAAACCTGGCCCATGGGAGCTTGGATATGGCCAAGCTCCCCTCAATCCTACATGCCGAAGAAGGAGAACAAAAGCCAGGAATGCACCCAAGGCATCTCCTCAAAGCAGAAGCTAACCTACTCATATTGCTTTACTCACAGAGAATAAAATAAGTGGTTCACTGGGCATCAATCTGTCAGCCATCAATCTGTGCACTATGAAGCCCATTCCCATCAGAGGAGCTAATGGAGGCATACTCAGGTAGCTCGCTAGATATATATAAGTGCAGTATTATGCATTAAACAGTAATGAACAGAGTGACATAGCACACAGAGATCCTGATGAGTAGTAATAGTTAATGGGATGAGGGAAATCAATTTTATTATATTAATAACTCATGCTGAATGAACCCTGAAACCAATTACGCTAGTGTGCATTCACTGCAACCAGACTGCTATGAACACTGAGTGTTAGAGTGCTGTGCACTGAAGATTAGAAAGGAAAGCTTGTTCTCATACAGTTCAGCAATAAGACATATAGCAAACTGCTTTGCAAAGCAATTTCATTGAAAACAAAATTTCAAGCTCTCAAAAGCATAGAGAAAGACTGAATAGCCATATCCACATTGTGAAAGTTTCTATGTAAGAATTTGTATAGGAACATTACGTTTTAGCAGATTAATGCAAGGGATTTGAAAATTTAAGTGGTTGCTGTATATAATAAACAAGGCAAAATATGGATAAATATAAATGCCTCAGAACAAAACTATTGTTAAATATTATATAAAATTGGAAAGGAGGTGAATGTATATGTCAGTTCTTTAAAATGGCTGATGAACTGCAACGTTGTAATTGTGTTTTCAAGGGCTCCCATAGCCTTATCAGTCTGGGGTCAGAATGCACAAAAACAGTGTTCTGTTTGTTTAAAAGTTTGTTTCGAGGTATTTAAAACATTCAGTGTCAAGAATTGCAGCTTTTACTGTTAAAAGATTTTCAGAAGACATGAATTTAACTCTAGTTTAACTCTACACACGTCATTGTTTCAGGTTCCCTATACCTTATCTTCATGTTGTTCCCAGCACAAATGTTTATGTAAAAGAAATGTATGAGGTATGAAATGACTTCCAAGATGGTTTCACTGTTAAACAGCTATTGTGAAGCAAATAACATCTGATGTGCATCGCAAATAGAGAAAATGAGAGTCCTCTGTTGTGTTCTCACACTTGAATTACTTTGGTGGAAAGTGGAATGTTGTTGAATGGCAACTCCAAGCAACCATCACCAATATGGTGAAGAATGCTGGGAATAGCAGTCCATCTCTGGTTTGTGGCATCTAAGTGTGCCAAAAGGCCTAGTTAAAACACTCTGTCTGTGGACAAAAATGAAAAATAGATCATTTGATTTCAGTAGATATGTTAGAAGTTAAAGAAATGACGGGAATATCAACCTGTCGTAAATGTAACCTTGTCAATGTTTCTGTGTGACTTTGAATTATTTCAGACTTCTGGAAACCATAAGGTGGCCACCTTGAGGTTGCCAGAAGTCAGAAATGACTCAAGGGGTTTTGTTGAGAAGATTTGAACAAAAAAGGTTTTTCTTTACCCTTCTCTGAGGCATGGGATATGACTTAGCTAAGATCATCCACTGTAAATAATAAATTCAACTCTCTCGTTTTTGCACATAGCATAATATTTTGTAATACAGGAACAAAATAGGTTTTTTTAATGTGTTAGGTTTGAAGAAGAACAGTCTTTTTTACAACTTTGAATTCTCTAACTTTGGCAGCAAAAGACTGCACAGTTCAAACAAATCAAGAACTACTGTGTGCATGAGTACAGAGCTTGGGAATCTTACCGGGACATTCTGAGAGCTGCAATTCAAAAAAACTAACTTTTCAAAGCCATGCATATGCGTGTGTGCGCGCGTGCGCGTGTGTATTTAAAGCTCCTAGGAAAAAAATATTGTTCTACCAGGATTTTGCATATTATCCCCTCCCCCTGCCAAATTGCCAAATACATAACAGGTTGGAACAATGCAAATGACCTAACAGCTTGGAACTGTTAAAACAGAATAGAAGTAATAACATGTCTTAAGACGAAAAAAAAATATGATTATGTCATTGGGAACAATGGGAACAAAATGTTTTCCTGAAATACTGGTATCATGAGGAAAAGTTGCTTTCTGTGGAATAATAATTACGAATCAAAGAAAGCAAAACATTTGTAGCTCATACAAGTGATAAGGATCACATGGTTGAACAGACTCCCAGAAAAGGAACAAGGAGGTTAAGAACATTTTAGTTGCTGAAATACATAAAAGTTGCATCTTTGTCTCACAGTGACAAATATTTTAACAACTTAAGTTCTGAGTGGTATTTTAATATATTTGTCGGACTAATTTTAATTGTAGTATCAAGTGGGATTAATCAGTTGTTTGGTTTACATAAATAAAGCTATCAGAAAAAGAAATCACCTGCCAATCTGATTTATAGTGTTATGTTTCATGAGTATATTTAGAATGCGAAAGTATGTCGAGGAAACGTCTTCTGGATAGTTGATTCTGTCTGCTTTTTAAAAGACAAGTATTGGCACAGTACCGAAACGTTTTTACAAATACCACGTGAAAACACAGTTTGAAACATTTCCAAATATGCCTTTTTTGCTGGCTCTGGCTTACTTTAGCTACTTACGCTGGACTGTCACAGTGTCTTATGGATGATGAGACTCCTCCCCCGCAGGTCCTGCTGCACTCTCCCCATATTGACCAGGGACCCCAACCCCCATCTATGCTCTGGGGCCAAGTGCCAAAAGGTACGCAATCTCCCTGATAACACCACTGGAAAAATTTCATAGAAAACACAGAATTAGCTTTCAACTGCTATGAATTATCAGAACAGAAAAAGATATGGGTCAGTGACCAATTATAGGCACCAATATTCTTTGCACAGACAACATACAGATGTTTTACTTTGTTTAGCTATGTTTAGTTCCTGATAAAGGCAAATGCAATTTGTTATTTATCTTAGGCTAAGCCTCAATTGTAAATCCTGTAACATACATAAAAAATTAACCAGACAACATTTTACATTTCATATAAAACCTTACAATCACTAATTAAAACAGAATGCAACCCACTGAAAATCTTTAAACATTAAGGATAACTTTGGGAGTGCGTTTTGGGGGGAGGGTAGAAATCTCACCTTTACTTGGACTAATAGTTTAAAAGCACAGCATGGAAAATTCTCTAGTTAAGAATTTTTATGAGGATTATTGCTTTTCCTTTAAAAAATACTGAAGTATGGATGATGTTACAATGAAAGAGAAATCTGAAGCAGTATTTCATCTACACTTACACTGCAGACATAATAAAAGTAATGCCAAGACATAGAAACAACAACAAAAAACTCTTTACACTCATTGACTAGCCAGTTGCTCGGAGACTACAGGAACATATGGACTGAAATTTTAAAACAGACAACAGCAAAGTCTAAATCTGGCAGTAATTTTTTTATGATGGAGCATCAAGTTAATATGAGAAAAAAGAATGCATTAAATATATAACTTGAGTTGGAATATTTTATTCATATTAAATTAAGCTAAAGACTGCATCCTTATTTAAGACCAAATTTGGCTATCTTGTTTCACTATAGAAAATTAAGGAGGCAGAGGAAATGAAAAACAAAGCAAAACAATTTGTCCTGTCAAATAACATTTTGACATTTTCGGCAGAGTTAACAAGGTTTAAAGAGACATTTTACCTGATTGTGAATTGTATGCACTTAGGGCACATTGACACTGACCACTTAGGTCAGTGTGAAAATGGAAGTGGAGAAAACAAGTTCAACATGGAGTTGATTACATGGGAAGGTCAGGAAAACGACTGAGTCCTGGATGGTGCTTATATTTATCAGAGGTTGGTCTCAACCCAGTTCAAGGATCTGGTATCCCTAGCTTCATGGCTGTGGAAGATGCGGCTTTTGTTTTTAAACTTACCCTGCCACAATGCACACGTGCAGATTGACAGATCACCTGCCCTTTAATTGGTTTCACCATGTAATGTGGTTCATATCTACAAGCACTGGCACATATTAAGGGCCTTATTTCAGAGTATGCTCTGATTTTGCTTACCATGGTTTAAGGCCTCTAATTTGTGTTGTTATGAACATTTGTGTCATGAATTATTTAAAAATAGCACTTTCAAGCTGCCTTAATGAAGTGATCTGTTAATGTGCCCTCAATAACAGAATGATAGAATTGGAAGAGACCCCAAGGGCATTTAATCCAACTGCCTGCCATGCAAGGACACACATCCAAAGCACCACCAATAGATTGCCATCCTGCCTCTGCTTAAAAACCTCCAGAGAAGGATATTCTGCCACGCTCAAATGCAGCCCATTCCACTGCTGAACAGGGACAACTTGACCAGGGACTACTTTGACCAGGGAACACTCTTGAACATTAGTACCAAAGGGGTTATGAATCAGTTTTTGGTCAACTTTAGATTTGGTTTGGTTATTTGGGGAGCCTATTCAGAAAATTGCATTAGATAGACCACATCAGCCCTAGTTTCTGATACAGAACATATGCCATCCAGTAGCCGCCATCTGCTCACCCAAAGAAAACCATATTTAATAATCATATTTAATAAGCTGATGTGGTATTAGTACTCTTTTGCAGGTAGTCAGCCTCTCCCCTCCCGATATCCCTGTTGCCTAGGCACTATATAAGAGGGTTTCACAAGACCAGTCACTCTCATTGCCACATGGTTTTGAGGCAGCGGTGTAGTAATGGTGAGGCAGCGGATCATATTTTCGTTCTTGCAGACCACTGATGGTCCACAGACCACCGGTTGGGTAACATTGCTATAGTGTATTTAAAAAAGAACAGCAGAGTATCTTTGTCAAATTCATGGAAATTTTTAGAAATACAAATATGACATATTGAAGGCAGTTCTGCATATGTTTTCCTCACGAAATCACTTAAGAAAATATTGGGATCCAGTGCAAATAGAAATTAGTAAGACAATAAATATTGTGATTTCTGCTTCTTAAGATTTTCCTGGAGCCTACTCATCAAGAAGGTACTTGTCAAAACCAGTGTCAACAACAGTGGAAAAATACTAGAATTCTATTGGTTCCAAAATGATCTACAAATAAGTATGATTTTAACAGGTTGGGATCATGAAAATATCTTTTCTCAGAACAAAATCACAAAATGAGTCAATGCATTGATAACAATTTCTTACATTTTGTTACACATATTTTATTTATTTATTTATCGTGTCAGGAGCAACCAGACATTTGTATTACATGTTTAACAAAACAAACAAACAAACAGACAAAACACAAAGTTTGCAAGCTTGGTAGTTGATTAAATGTCCTTTGACCAGGACACGTGATTCCCCACTCCAGAAATCATTGTAACACTTGTATCCATGCACTTGCTCTGTTTTAGTATTTTCATAGAGAGCTATCTATTAAACAATAGTTGTAGTCAAATGGAAAATGCAATATTGTATCTCTAGTCTAAGCATTCCCTTTAGCATATGTACAATGGTGTAGTAGTACATTTATATTGTCCATTCCTCAAGGGATCACCAGCCAGGAAGTGAAAGGAGAATTAAGAGAAAGCCAAGAAGCTTGGATGCAGAGAAAAAATAAACAAAAGCCTGTCAGAAAAGCAAACAGAATAGCAGATGGCTGACTAAAGCTGAGCAAAAACATGGGTGCCAGAAAAATGGTTCACTGAGCTTTTGACCACCTGAAATGCCTTCATGAAAATTTGGGGCAAGATACACAGTCTTCTACTTAACAAAAGCTTATGTAATTTGCCCCTTTAGTCTGTAACTGGCATGCTCTTTCTGCAAGAAGCAGTACACAAGGCATAGCATCTTCCATCACAGTAGAAAAACAAACAAGTTGTCTAAGGAGATAATTTACATAGCAAAGATGTCATCAGTTTTGAAACAAGACTATCATTTAAACACACTATTTACTTACCCGAGACCATGTTACAAGTGGTTTGTGTCCAGCTGTGCATTTGGGGTGGTTCCTGCCCAGATCACAGACACAACTTTCTACAAAGCATCAGGTGTGATAAAGCACTAACCCAGGATTCTCACCCATTTACTTCAGATCTCATGTAATAATGTAAAACACAGGTCCAGAATCTTCCTATTCCAATTCAAACTCAAAATACCCAACAGAAGTAGTAACTCTAATGTTTGAAATCCCTGAGTAGAGTTTTATAGAAAAGAGTATGTGAGCAGGAACTGTGAATGAACAGAAGCGTCCAAAGAACACTTATATAAAGCAAAATATTGTTCTTCTTCATGGTCTCTCTGCAGTCTCGTGGTTTTACATTATGTAGACATTTACAAAAAGAGTGGATAAAATTTGTTTAACACAGAATTTTCAAAGCAACATATGAACTGTTAACAACACCCAGTTTCTCTTAGAAACCACCTAGATGCTAACACTGCTAATATTAGACCTTCTACTAATTACAAAAAACCCCAATCTATATGGATAGTGCCCAATCAGCATAAAATGACAGTATTCATTAAATAGAATGCAGCATAGAAAATGGTGGCAATGCGTGGAACTCAAATATTACTTTCCTTGTGAACCTTAACTCCAGTATGAGGGCCATTTACCCTTCCATCAAAAAACCAACTAACCCTCTGCTCTTATAGATCCAATTTGATTTAGTCAAAGGGAATGTTACAAGAAGGATAACACAGCACAAAAGCCAACAAATGAATGCAATTTGAAGGGCTTTGCAATGGAAGATGTGGATAAAATAGTGCACTTTTATTGAAAAATGAAGTAGCTGGAATGAATTTAAACCATGATGCTGCTATCCTCAATTTTTTTTCTTCATCTTAATAGGAAGCTCACATTTAATATAAAGATCTTTTATCTTTTGTATAAAAATACTATAAGGCAGAATATTTAAGCCAGATATCTCTTTAAAGAGGTTGCAGACTAATGAGGTATCCCATACAGTTTGGTATATTTCTAGACTGCCTTTTAGCCAAATGAGGAAATTTCAGACATTTTAATAAATGTCTAAAAAGTTAATCAGTGACATTACATTTTCCCCCAAATTAAAAGCAGGCATGGGCAAAGTTCTGCCCTCCAGGTGTTTGGATTTCAACTCCCAACCAGCTTATTGACTGTTAGGAAGTCCAAAACACCTATAGGGCTGCAGTTTGCCAATTCCTGTACTAACCCCTGCAAACATGGAAGAACTGATATCAGAAACACAAATAACCTAAACATATTGGCTAATAACTTGAATGGAAAGTAATTTGAACTTACCCCTTTTTCAATGCTTCCAGTTTGGCAAAGAGTACCCTCAGCTGCTGGTATACTGTTGGTAACACAACGGTTACTTTTGCTGAGACACCAAAGCTCTCTACACACTTCCTGGGAAAGAAGGCAGAAGCAAGTTGTTCAGAAGAAATGAACAGCATTTCTCCAGATGCTCCTTAAGACACACACATTTCTCCTGAAAGTCCAAGATACTGCTCTACAATAAAACAAAGTGAAATATATTTTGGAACATTGATCAAGGTGGATTAATTCACATTATCTTCTTTCAGAACCAAAATAACTTCTTTCCCAAACCCACTGGTTTATATTCCATGTGACAAAACAATCTGAATTCATCCTAAGACATTCCCTTTGGGCAAAATGCCCTTCGCGGTAATCCCAGTTTCTGATAAATGTGATTAGTAATCCCAGCTTCTTATAGACTCTGCAGATACCTTCTTGAACACAGTCAAGCTCCAGCATGGTTTATTTATGTGAATTAACCCTCAATCTGTGAAATTCTATCAGCAAAGTCTGAAACTATCAACACAGATCTTAAATTGTATACAAAGATAATCTTTCTTCAAGGAGGTCTGATTACATGTTTCCAATGTAGATTCAGAGAGGAGATTTTATAGTCGTTCCTATGTGCCGGAACTCCCACTCCTATATTCCAGAACTCTACTTAAATGTAGAAGGTATATTTCTCCTGGTTAGATATGCCTTTAGTTCTAACAGTTCCTTTCAACTTGTCACGCACACATCATTTTAAATCACTATGGGATACAACAACTGGTGTAAGGTCAGCAGCATGGGTCCTCAGCACTGAACAACAAAAGTGAAATATTTCTTTTCATAGCACAGTGCTGGACAGGGAAAATTCTGCAGGACTTCAGCACTGTCAGAATCACCATTACTGACCTTTTGCTGCAGATTTCCCCAGGAACCAAAGTACTGCAGAATCTTCCCATATTAACAAATCTGAAAAAAACACCAGGCTTCCACTGAGAGTATTCATTTTGCACTGTGTTTCCAGTAGTAAACCTATGAATAAACTATTACGATGAGCTTTTAGACATCTTGGGGTGACAACACCCTCAGTTTAATTTCTGATCAGTTTATGCTTATGATTTTCTATGCCTTTAACATTGCGTTGGCAACTTTGGTGGCTTTAGGAGACAATTTTCTGACCTTAGATTACAAAAATGCCATAAAATAAAGAAAATCACCTGGAATGGGCTGGACGTCCATGTTTAGGTTTTTGTGTTAGGGGAGGGGAGTAATGCTATAATGAATAAGAAGCTCCTGTCGTTCAACTAAATGAATAACTAAACTTTCCAGAACATGCAAAAACAGGTTGCATACCTATAAATGTGGTTCGTGAAATGATCATCTATGAATTTATACAACCGGGGTTTATTTGCCTATGCAGAATAATCTAGACCTGGATTATTTGGGGGGGGGGGGGGGGCAGGAACCCCACTCCTCTTTTCTCAGCATGCATGCATGCCAAGGTATGCTTCAGCTAACCATCAGGTCCTTGTCCACCAAGTGGGAACAAATGTGGAAAGAGGGGAGAAGGGAAAGCTGTAGAAAACACAAATGATTGCTTTAAAAAACACAGTAACAAGTAAGTTTTCTGCAAGTAATCTTCTAAAACTATTTTAAACTAGTATTTTAATAATGTGCCTTTTAAATAAAATGATATAATTTTTAAAAACTTTTGAAAAGTAAGTTTTTAAGTAACCTTTTATTTTAAATTTTATAAACTGCTTTGGATCCCATACTGGGAGAAAGGTGGGGTAGAACTGGGGGCAGAGATAGAAATTACACAATTTATTAATTAGATAGCTAATTTTTTTCAGATCCGATCATTTGTTTATCTAGAAGAAATGGGAGGGGGAAGAGACCCCACATGGCTGAGAGAATCCATCAACACTGTGTCTTACCCATGGGAGGAATATCATGCCCAGTGTACCATTGCCAAACATGTAGAGCAAGCTACAGCAATATTTCGGATCTTTATCACCCAAAATGAAATATGATGGAAATCAAGGAGACACAGTAGCAGATATTTTAATTATTTATCATGTCAGAAGCAAACTGAGGGAACAGTTAAATTTATTTAAAACAAAGTTAAAAACTTGACATTATGCTAAATTTCCTTTGACCACAAGCTGGACACTTGGAGTGCCTCTGGTGTAACTGTGAGAAGGTCCTCAACTGTGCATGTGGCAGGGCTCAGACTGCATTGTAGTAGGTGGTCTATGGTTTGCTCTCCTCCACACTCACATGTTGTGGACTTCACTTTGTAGGTCCATTTCTTAAGATTGGCTCTCCATCTTGTGGTGCCAGAGCACAGCCTGTTCAGTGCCTTCTAAGCCGCCCAGTCTTCTGCGTGCACAGGAGGGAGTTTCTCATCCGGCCTCAGCCACTGATTGAGGTTCTGGGTTTTAATCTGACACTTTTGGATTCTTGCTTGCTGAGGTGTTCCTGCAAGTATCTTTGTCGATCAAGCTGTTCCTTGATTTAAGGCTATAGCATGCTGGCTCAGGCCCGTAGCCAGGATTTCGTTTCGGGGAGGGGGGGGCTGAATTTTTTTCAGGGGGGGGTTGGGGGGCTGAATTTCGGGGGGGGGGGGCTGAGTCTGAGTGAAAGAGGGTCTAACCTAGCAAACCTTTTGTATCATTACCCCAATACCCTCATGCATATGGGATATATTGAGTATGGTTATCAGATCATGATATGAATAAACATAACAGTTTAAATAATGCACCAGTAACGCCTTTTTGCGAACCACCATGAGAATTTCGGGGGGGCTGAAGCCCCCCGAGCCCCCCCCCTGACTACATGCCTGTGTGGGCTGATATCCGAACAGAGAATGGCCCAGAGATGTCAATGCCTTAGACCTTTCAGTATTTGCTGCTACTTCCCAGCTAAACAGTATAGTTTTTCCAGTGGTGTGGGGCGTAGACATCCTGTGATAATGTGGCATGTCTCATTAAGAGCCACATCCACTTTTTTAACATGGTGAGATGAATTCCACACTGAGCATGCATATGAGTAGCAAAGTGCAAGAACATGAGAGAATCCTCCCTGCAGGATCATAACACATCCGGGCTTCCCCTGGGCAAGATCTTCATAGATGGCTGATTATCTCACACCAGAAGAGACTTGCAGCATGCAACCAAACAAACAGTGGCAGATGTCTCCAAGGGTAAGTCAAGGACGAAGGCAGTATCCAAAGACATAACTGAGTGGGACAAAAGCGTAGTCAATAGACCCAAGCCAAAGACAATGCCTTTGGCCATGAAGTCAAATGATCTTGCCTAACAAGAACAGGTACTCAAAATGTTCATTTTCTAAATCATTGTGTTCGGAAACGTTGCACTGCATGTGGTGCAGAATTTGAAGATGGCTGTAAGATCATTTACTGAAAGAGGAAGAGGCAACCTGCAGCTGCTGAAGTTCACCAAAGATTTGAAGTCAATGAAGTTGAACTAAAAAACAAAGTAGGGCAGAAAGTGTAAAGGAGCCAGGTTGTGAAGAATTGTGTGTAGAATATTTCAGTTGATGCTGTTCACTTAGCAGGGGAAAAAGAACTAAGGAGCACTAGCTAAATCAAACCTAATCATACATATTGAGGGAGTGGAGGCAGGGTTCCCATCCAAAAGATCTCAGCTCTACAATTTTCTCCACAAATACAAACCTTACAAGCAAAAATTTGCCCTTTTTTGTTAGACATTTTTGCTAAAGGTTCATTGGAGGGAATCCGATGGATCTTAAAAACTGCATGTGGCTCCAGGGTCTGCTGGCTGCTACTTTAACACTCTGCTGGCTGCTACTTTAACACTTACTCTGCAGGCAGAAGTTTAGAAGTAATTGCTTTCTTCTGCTCAGCAGCAATAACTGTGCAACTAGCTATAGACACACTTAAAATTTAGTATATGACTTACATTATATACATAGTGAATAACATATAATTTACAACTAGAAATCGCAAACAATGCCACTTGGTTAACAGTTGGCCATCTTAGCAAAAGCATGCTATTATGAAAAGTAACTGTAGCATAGATTCTGTACTGCTTGGGATCATGATTTTAGTATTTATTTTAAAATGCAGGGCAAATAGAAATGGGAAATTATGTAATCAAGGTTGAAATTTGTTCATAGGGAAAGCCAAATGTCATGTGAAGTCATTGTGCTATAATAGCTGGAAGTAACCAAAATACTTTATGAAACTTCTTTGCATTGCAATTTTTTGTTGATGTGAACAATTCTGGCCAGAAACCTAACATTAATATTATCATTAAACAGGAGTTTTGGAAACAAAATAACAGGTAATATTCTTACTTGTGGAGAGGATAGTCCAACTCAGTTCAATGACTCCTTAACATACCTGCATCTTGCCTTGTAGTAAATTAATTTGAAACATATACTGGAGTTTTTTCAATAACCACAGGACGGCATTTTGAATTCCACAAATCTAGCAAAAATGTGGCATCAAGGCCACTGAAGCCATTATCTGGCTAAAGTTTTTGAACAGTACGTGTTGCTGTCTAGTGAAAGTGTCCGAAACAGGAACCTAAACTGTGATCATTTTTATGCATTTCTATTATCTAAATATATGTGGATAAAACCTATAGTCTTTTTGTACTGAAAAAGCAAAGTTGTTAATGTCAATAAGGATAGTAGATGCTATTTCATAATGACAATTTTATTTTATCATCTAAACTGCATTTCTCATCATGTCTTGTCTATGAACTAAAACTATTACTGATAAACTTTATGATACATCAGTAAGGCAAGGGTCTAAAACAGGCCTGGAGAACCTGCGGCCTTCCAGGTGTTTTGGCCTCCAACTCCCAGAAGCCCTTGCCAGTTTGTTCAGTGGTCAGGAATTCTGGGAACTGAAGTCCAAAACATCTGGAAGTTTCACAGGTTGTGCAGGTGTGGCCTAAGACATGCTTAGTTTGAAAATATTCATTTTTGCTTTGTAATATTGCTGATAGAAGGCACTGTCTAAAGTTTTTTAGCCTCAACCTGAATTGTTCAAAGACATATGTCAATGTTATATCAAAAAGTAACAGATCACTATGGAGAGATCATCAAAA